ACGTAAGGTCAGGCTGGTAACTAGTTAGCAACTAGATACAAACTAGTTAGAAGAGGAACTTGCCTTGCCGTTTTTCATGGGGAGAGGCGGTAGACCCAGGCTCTCAATGCTCTTTGAGCCAGAACGTGCACGAGGGAAATCGGACCCCAATTCGGGGCTTGCGGGTTTCCTATAACTAGTTAGTAACTAGATAAAGACTAGTTAGAGATGGGACTTACTTAGTTTCAGGAACAGCAGGGGTGAGAGTTTCGTTTAAGGTGCTATAACTAGTTAGTAACTAGACAGTAACTAGTTAGGCACAGGACTTACTTTGTCTTCAACCCAGATGGAGTATCCATCCTGCGAGATCAGGACAGGCCAGCTGGCCTGTCTTGCGCCTGCGTGAGTCGTACCCCTGCACCCAGACCACCGCTCCCGCTGTCCCCTGTACACGCACATCGGGCGCAGCCACCGTTCTGGCGCAGGCTATCTCTAACGTAGCATGCTGCAGGCGGGCGAGGCGGCAAGTCCCCGTCATTGACGGCTTGTAGACTGTATTTGTCGACGCAGGTCTATCCCATGCTCCGTCTGATAGAGCGTTTGCTTCATTACCCTGTAAATAGCAAAGATAGGTCCGCAGGTCAGGCACAGATGACATCTACCTAATCGCGATCCTATGGAAGGGACCATATTGCAGGTTGTTAGCGGACAGTACCAAACCCATGATAAGAACAGCGTTCCGACAGCCATTTGGTACATACAAGGAGACGTAGGAACCTACCTAAGGGACTACGAGGAGACAGCTACGAATACTATGCATCATATCCATAATTATGCGCACGACTCTGCACAACCAATGGACTTTGAGGGACCTCAGCCAACCTTTGGCCAGGAATGTTTGCGGAAGCAGAAACAATCCGACAGCTTGGGAAAGACGCAAGTATTTATACCCCGCGTTAGGGCTCGTCTTTGGTGAATTCAGCAAAGGAAGTTATTAAGATTCAGGTACGAGCCTTGTTGTCACAGGATCGGTGTGAATATCTCTGCTGAACTTCACCTGGGAAGTCAATACAAATAAGAGCTTTAGTCTGACGTCTTTGCTTAGTTCACATTATCCTAATTCTGCAGGGGGAACAGGCAGGTTAATGCAGAATAAAAGGTGGAAGTAACAGGGTTGTGACTGGCTTGTGAATCGTCCCCATTACCTTCACTGTTAACAGTCCCGGGTCACAAAGGCAGGCAGGCGAACAGAGAAAGCAGCACAAGGCGCTTGTCACAACAGCCAGGTTGCCTTTGTATCCATAAAGTGAAATCCAGCAACGGAATCATATGCACCGATAGGAGAGCTCCTCAGTTGCCATCTGTGACTCATATCCATCATATTCAGACTCTGACCTCTGTAGTCCTTTACAACCAGCATTATTCCTACCAAGTGCCTCAGGATATCCCGCCCTTATTAAGACATGACGTTCACCTCCAAACGTCACTCTTGCAGAGCTGGAGTCATCGGAACTCCTTCACTCAGCCAGTGCACAAGACAAGATAGTCCTCACAAAGGCTTCTGGTTGGGCCAAGGTAGTGAATCGAACCGAGATGATCCGGCCAGCACGCTCAGCAATTCGTGTAAACATGTCATGCAGGAAGCCCACAACGTCCTGGCTGGATTGAGGATTTCCAGTAAACTCAAACCCCTCAAATAAATTCTCGAATGGGACAGCTTTCAACTTCCGTTCAAGTTTATCCAGTTTATGCAGAAACAGAACAATCTCAACGTGCCGGGGTAGCTCGCTCTCACATATTAAGGTAAAAAGAACCTGGTCCTCCGCCAAACGGTCGCACGCATTCTCTTCCGCAAGCTGCTGGTTATACGAGCCCGTGTCGACAAAGTAGAAGAATTTCGATGCGCCTGGGAGATAGTGGCGCCATTTCTTCCTTTCCGTGCGGGCGCCGCCGACATCACAGAAGAGCACCTGCGAAGCTCCATGGTTATAGCGTGCTATGATGCCTCCTGTAGACTTAGTATAGCGCCACATCGTGTCTTCAAAGCTTGGCTTATAGTCCGATTCAGTGATACGGTCGATTGCGTTCATGAAGCTGCAGACATATCAGATGTCAGCGTGGTTGACAGTAGAAGAGACGAGAGATCATACTATTCCACTCCGTCCTCAAGGTCCGGATGACTTGATGCTTCCAAAAGACGATGCTTCGCTACACACGCGTGAATGCGCCTTATATCCTGGCAAACACCCGCCAGGATGTCTTGTTGCAGCTCATCCGGGTACGCATAAATGGTGTCCAGTCTTTCCGTGACAGTAGCCGAAAGTGTACACAAAGACGCCCACTTTCGGCCCATGTCGTCTTCGTTCAAGGAGGCCCGTTTGCCGGTTTGCAACAGTCGGTGGAGCTGGGCGTTGACTGACATTGAAATGCCCGTTCTCGGATGGAATAGGTGAGCGTTGGTTGGAGGTCCAACCAGCAAGCTTAGAGCATTGAGTGCACTCGACTTGCCACTTTGGCTGACCCCGAGAAAGATGACTCTCGGTGAAGACTCCATCTGCTTAAGAGTGCTGTTGGGAGCGGCATCCGGGCCCAAAGAGGGTTGTCCCCATACGCGACGCAGGACTATTGAGGAAAGCCACTGGCTACCCCTTTGGGAACGACTTGTATTAACAGAGCTTGTATTCCGGCGCTGCCTTGTGGGGATCATGAATGACTTGAGGCTGGATGTTTCGGCGTTTGAGATAGACTGGCGGTACTCGACGGTGTACTCAATCGGCCCCCAGGCCATAGACTCCTCGTGGCTCAACACAGACAGCGATGATTGCGTTGCGTTGTCATCGAGAATGCTCTCCGCTCTATTCGGGAGCGATGAGGCAGTTGCGTAAAGAGCCTGTCGCATGGTCGACCTGGCTGCAGACCTATAGACTCGAGAATCAAAAAGGTCCGAATCAAAGCTGAATCGAGCGCTAACCAGGCTTAACCTGTCCGAGGGCATACTGTTCTTGGTCATCTCCGAGTCGGAATCCCTCAGCCAGAGCAAAGAAGAGGCATCATCCTTGACCCGACTGAAGACAATCCGAGTTTCAGCCGTTACAAGAAGGTTCCTTTGTTCTAGTGATGATTTGCTATGCGGTAGTTAATATTAGTTCTGCCCAGCTCTTTGCCTCAACTTACCACTGAAGCGCCGACAGAAGCAGAGTCATCGCGTTGACCTGATTGTTCAAGAGCGCCTGAAACTCGACGGTTTCACTCTCATTCCACAGGATCCCCATCTTGTCAAGCATCGAGGGCTCATCCTGCCGCATTCGCACCTGCGCCAACCGCTGATCTATGAACTGCATAATCTCTTCGCAGCAGCCAAGCGATATGGCGACATCGGTTGAAATCTGTGGGTCGTCCCCAGTTGGCTGATTTGCACCGATCAGAGGAAGCAGCTCCTTGATCTGGCCAAGGGCCGCGTTGAGAGTCGACAGATGCCCAATCACAATCCTTGTTCTGAAGCTGACGGTTGCATAGCGGCCTTGGAAGTCGTTGAGCGTCTTGATGCTGCGGGTCACCACATCCATAATCCCCAGGATCGATCCCACCGCGCCGAGTATTGAGATTGGATCCATTGTGTCCGGAGAATCGTCGCGTTACTCAGGCCATCCCGCTTGGTTCGCGCGGGCACAAGGGAATATTATTCCTCCATTACCACACTCATGCGCCCGACAGACGAGGCTGAAGTTCGCCCTGCTGCAGGCGAAGCGCCATTTGCTGACGTGGCGCCAGTCACATTGATTGACAGGGATAGCCTGGGTCAAGGCAGCCTCGAGCGGCGCCAATCAAACGTGAATTGAAACCAAAGCCTTGTCCTCATTGTGGCACCAGCACGTAGCTTGATGGAAGATGGAAAAGAGATCGACCTCAAGCTTAGAAGAGGGCGCGAATGCCCATCGAGGCGAAGCCTGCGGAAGGAAGGAACCACCGGGGCTGAGCCTTCAGGACTGCCAGTGTGATGGCTGATGACTACCTATGGTAGGTAGAGTGACCGCAATCTAGACCCTTCAATCATTGAGCTGGCATGCAAGATTCGATGAGTCGGAAAAAGAAGATTGGAATGATCGCCGTCCCCACCGGTTCCTCCATCCTGTAGATCGATGCGATCTCGCCCGCGAACACTCCATCATCCATGAATTCAGACTGACATCATAGGCCCCTTATCCAGGTGACCCTTCTCTAGCCCACGGTTCCTGCCCAATCTGCCACTTACCATAGACGATGGCTCTGAGCACACTAGGGACGCAAGCTGTGCCATTCAACCCCAGTAAGTACCGGCCATATCAACCCAGGGACCATTCCTTACACACATCCTTCTAGCATTTCCATTCCCAATAGCACACACCCCCGCCCGCCTCCTAGAAACCGCCGAAGCAGCCTTCCTGCGTTCCCAAATCCGCACAGTCAGTCGCTTCTACCCCGATGAAAAGTTCGCCACCATCCCGCTGAGGCGGAAGACGATCAGAAGCGAAACGGAAACTCAAACCGGGCTCGCAGGCGCAACAAAGAGATCATTCGACTGGAAGCTGAACCGCGTCGTCGGGTTCGGGATGGACGGCCCCGTCACGGGCCATGAGCTCGATGGACTTGAGCGCCTGTCCAGGCGCGTCGGTCTGACGCCGTACATTGATCTCTGCCCGTTTGCGCATCCGAGCGCGCGGGAGCTGCTGGCGCAGAGGGGGTATAGGAACGCTGGGGATATCAATGTGCATATCCTGCCGCTGCAGGATGTTAGTTTTGACGATTCAGGGGATAGTACTCGAGGTCGGGTAGAGATAACACGCGTCTCAACCTCAGCCGACAGATCGCATTTCATCGAGTCCTCACTCGCGGGCTTCGAGCAAGACGCAGGTGACAGCAAAACTGAGGACGAGCTCCTCAAGCTTCTCGCCGAGTGCGCCACGCTCCAGCCCGAAACACGGACTTACCTTGCGAGACTCGATGGCCGGATTGCAGGGGGTGCAGGAATGGCGTATCTTCCTACGCCGCAGGGCCCCGTTACGCAGCTTCATATCACCAGTACTGTTCCCGAGTTTCGCGGGAGGGGTGTACAGGGTGCGTTACTGCGGGCGCGACTGGCTGATGCGAAAGCAAGCGGGATCAGGGTTGCAGTGGTGAATACACGGCCTGGAAGTGTAAGCGTGAGGAATGTTGGTCGGGCGGGATTTCGGCTGGGGTATGTGAGAGGGACGTGGACTAAGAATCCATAGGCAAATAGCCGTACCACGGGGTGAAGTGGAGGCAACTCTGCTCTGGGCCACCTGTTCGAGTGGCCCGTAATCTTGAGAACGGAAGAAGCCGAGGACGAGAGCTCGTATCGAGAAGGAGATCGTGAGAGCCTCCGATTATCTACCTAGTGCCTTCTTCTCTCGTATCCCCGTGTTTGTGTTTCTCCCGCAATGCCCTTCGCGTACGTAGCAGGTAGCCCGTTCTGAATCTTCAGCGTGTCAATGGAAAGGTAATCGACGACGCGGATTGAAGTTCGTTTGCCAAAGGGATCAACAGCTTGAAGCCATCAGGGACCTTGGGGCTTCGACCGGGAGAGAGAAGTAAGACGTCCCAGGTTGCTTGTTGTAAAAGCCTGAGAGCACGGCTGTGGTTCTTGAGCGGCCGAGCGTTATTTTCCACCTGCGAGGGCGAGAGTTGAAGGCGCTCGTGATTTTCAGGACATATATTAGCCAACCTAGGTAGAAACCGAATAGAGACAGATTTTCAGGACATATATTAGCCAACCTAGGTAGAAACCGAATAGACACAAGTACTAAGAGCCCGTAAATCAAATTGCTATTCATCATGTATGCAACCATGTACGACCATACCAAACACGAATACCATCCACCGTGCACGAACCTACCATAGCCAGCCACCCAACCGACCATACCACCATGCAAACAAAACATAACGCCAGGCAATGCTCAAATAACAGAAGTTCTGATTTTCAACTCCACAGAGGCGGATGAATGTACTCCTGCGCGCGGTCGAGGATATTCGGGATCGTCCACTCCCCGCTCGTTGAGCTCTCCGGCGTATGAGGCGGCAGTGAGCCCAGATTTGGCGTCATGCCGGAAGCTGACGACCCTGGGACAGGAACGATTGGGTTCGTGGCGCCGTGCATTGCGGTGGCGGGGTTGAGGTATGTTGGGGATGCACCGGTTGTCATAAGAGGGGATGTTTGGGTGTGGAAAGCTGCTTCCAGTTTCTCGAGAGCACGAAGGGTTTTCGTCAATGGCTTCGCCCACTGCGTTTGTGTTTCGACCGCGACGGCGGCGGCAGCAGGAGAGCTTAGAGCTGCTGGCGAGGGGGCGTTGGGGTTTGGAATCGGCTGGCCGAGGTTGTCGACCACAGCGCTACGGTTTGGTGCGCCGTAGTCGAACTCTGCGTTTGCGCGTTCGCTGATGATGGCTTTGAGTTTGCGGAGGAGGGCCCAGAAGTGCGCGTTCGATTTCATTTCTTCGGTGACGGCAAGCAGGAATATTGAGCTGATTGCGCGCTGCAGGGTGATCCAAGACCGGGCGGCGTGCGGGCTGACGGTGTGCATCTCAACATACGCATCTACCGTTGTCATTAGATGTTCAAGACACTCGGAGCGCATGCGAGCGGTTTGCGGATCACGGGTATTGGTGGCTTTGAGCGCTGGCCGGCAGAGCTCAGAGGAGAAGTACGAGGAGTGGAGTTTGAGGACGGTGCGCTCGAGGTGTTCTGTGGGGGTGATGCAGTATTTGGGATCGCGGAGGTAGGGGCGCGCTTCGACGAGGATCTTCTGAATCTGGTGGTTGTAGTTTTGGATGTTTTCCCAGCTTAACTGCGAGTGTGGGCTGAGCATGCGGCTGCGGACGACCTTGAGGGCCAAGGAGATGACCCCGCATAGCGACTCGAAATAAGAGTAGTCGCCCGGTTTTGAGCCCTCCCTTTTCGCGATTTCGGGTTGGCTAACAGCGGTGGTCGACGGGCGGTCATAGGATAGTGAGAAGTGGCTGTCTTGCCATGCCATGGACCACCACGTATGCCGTCGTCGATAACGTTCTGCAGCGGAGAAGTGACTGGACTCGACGTGAAGTCCCAGAGCTAGGCCCATTCGAAGAGTCATGCCTGAAAGGTCAGCGTGAATCCGGCAGCCAGTACATGTGACTTACCTAGCAGAACGTAGGAGATTCCTGGGTTCATGTTATATGCCAGGACGTTGCCAATCACTAGCAAGGTCTGGATAGCTTCTATCGTCGGCTGTGACAGGAAGTTGGTCATTCGAAGACATTGGTACGAGCAGCACACTAGACGGTCAGCATGCATGAGAGGATTTTTCACTGGTCCAACTCACCAAAGACTTGTGAACTAAGCTCGCGCTCTTTTCCAGGCAAGTCCGACGACTGGCAGCCTGACGCCAGCACTGCGAACAGCAAGCCGAGATACGCAATGGAGATGCCGAACGGCCTTTGTGCTTGATCATCATCCGCCTTGTACACTCCGCCGGCAGTAGTCCTATTTTGCAGCAGAAGGTCAAGGTTCCGCTCAAACACAGCCACATCCTCGATAACTGGGTAGATGGCGCCGGCGATATCTCGATAGTAACACCAGAACCTATACAGTTAGCAGGGCAATGACAAAACTGCAGCTACACTCACTCCTTGCATTGCTGGTCTGACGGAAGCGCGCAGCAGACCGCACTAATGTCAAAAGTCGACATCTCAGACGACCACAAATCAACAAACGGATACGTCGCAGACTCGTTGTCAAGTCCGAGCTTCGGCAGGATCCCTCCCTCAAGCAAAGCCTGTAACTGATCGGACCCGGACTTGTTGTTCAGGATATAAGCCAGGACCGACCGCGAGCCAAGATGAACCGTCCCCTCACCCAAAGTATTCGGCGCAAGGATCCCCTCTCGCTCCGGCGACGCACCCTTCGAGCGGTTACTTGCATCAGCGCTCTGCACGCTCCCCGTCTCCAGCGTCGAAGCCGACGCCATGCCCCCGCCATCCTCATTCGCCTTGTCCAGTCCCGCCCGCATAATCGCAAGCGTCTGCTCCATCTCCCTCAACTTGGTCCGCACATTATCCCAGTCCTCGCGCGCGATCGAAACCCGTCCCCCACTCGCCGGACTCGCCTGGCTACTCATGCCAGGCTCCTGCTTCAATCTGACCGATCCATCCGATATCCCAGTCTCCCCGCCGACCGACAACCTTGCGCCACCGGCAGGGCCAGCAGTAACAGGAGGAATCCCCGCGGCACCGTCCAAGTATCCCGTCTCCATGCCCATCCCAACGCGTCTCTTCGACGGCCGCTCATACGAGCACAGCTCCGCATGGTCGCGCTTAACGCACCCGTCGCACGGCAGGTTGCGGTCGCATTTCACTTTCCGCGCATGGCAGGGGTAGCAGGCTTTCGGCTCGCGCGCCTTGCGTTTCGCTCGGATAATCGCGTCGACTTGTGCTTGAGGCAGATCGGTGATTGGGCCGGACCGCGACGAGCTAGGGCCACTGCTGCCGGCACCTATGTCGGCGCCTGCGGGGGAGAACGACATGGACGGGTGGGCGGAGGAGGGGGTGTTGGTGTCCATCGGTAGCTGTCGCACGAACTCGTTATGACTCTATCGCCTCATTTCATGCGGACATGACGGTCGCGGGCAGTGATAAAGTCGCCAATATTTACCGTCGGCCTAGGAAATTTATTTCATCCGCTCGCAGTCGATGGCCGAGTCGCAGGAAAGGCGCAATGGAAGCTCGTTGACTGATGGCTGCGATTCGGTAACTGAGTCTTGACTCTTGACGCCAAATCGAACCGGCGGATCGGAGCCATTACTCAGCGGAGCCACGTGATGGCCTGATGACGTAACTGCCTGCTCTTGCCGTTTTCGGAACACAAACATTCGCCCGTCTTCAGGCATCATATCTACGCAGCAACTATTCAAGAGAGAAGAGGCTAGATCTCAGTGATCGTAAAGAAGTCATTACATGTGTGCCATTACTCAAAGTACATTGCTAACATAAACAAGACCAGATCTCAACGCACGAGCGTCAAGGACCGTCATCCATTGCTTAGACAGTATCAATCTTCTGATTAGCAGCGTCCTGCTCCTCAGCGACCACATCGGCAGGAATCTTGTCCGGTGTGCTATTTACCAGCAGGATCATCGGCCCCAGCGAAACCGCGAGCAGCACGAACGTCACAATGCTAGAGACCGTCAGCATTGTCTCTACTTACGGGAGCTTGGAGAAACCTACAATCCGACCAAGGGATTACTATCCGTCTGAGTGTTCATGCCATAGGCAATGGCCTGCCCAACCGCTTCAATACACCTGAACATAGCGCCATTGCGAACATTTGCTGGATTTTCCGTTAGTTATGACCTTTTTCAAAGGCTAGGCTGGTCACTCACCCTGTGCGTCCGTCGCAAACGACGACAGCAGCCAGTACATGTACGACTGCGACAGCGGGCCGGTTGTCTGCACGAAGAAGTACGGCAGGAAGGAGGTAGGGTACAGTCCGTCATTCCAGTCAATCTTGCCCGGGTCGTGATGGTCAAACTTGTTCTGCATGATGATGGACCAGATGTACACGCCGACGTTGAGGATGACGACCGTGAAGAGGCCGATCTGAGCCCGGCGACGCTGACTGACACCCTTCATGTCGAGGATGAAACCGAGACCAAAGCATCCGACACTGAGGAGTCAGCTAAGCCAGCTATACTTTCGGTGAAACTTACATGCAAAAGAATGGCGAGACCAGAGACGAGAGGGCTCTGGCGCGGACAGAGAAGTAGGTTCCTAGGTATGTGGACCAAGTGCCGCTGTTTCGGTCAGCCTGTACTCTTATCGCACTTTGAGGAGACATACGAGTAGAAGAAGGACCACAGAGCCCAAAATCCGGAAAGCAGGATAAGCTTTGAGGTTACGGTCTTGAGGATCTGCTTGAACTCTCGCTTGGTGGAGAGGGTCTCTGCCATGACGATTTTGGTTCCGTCGGACCGGACAACACGTTCGAAAGGCGCAATCAGCAAAGCAAAAGGCAGTCTATCAAGTCAGCTCAACCCAAGTCTACTGCAGTGTTGCACTCACGCAAGGCACTCGATGATCACAAAGGCAACATAGGTATCAGGGGTGATTCCACCGTCGGCTCCAGGCTTGTGATTTTTCGCCAGACTAGGATGATTAGCCATATTCTTGTCAGCGCTAGGAGATACCTACTTGATGGCCCCTCCGACCAGCTGTCCAAGATTGCGCGAAACAATCCACAGCGCCAGGTACTTTCCACGAGCACCGGAGGGCGCAAGGGTCATGATGCATCCAGCCTCGGCGACATACCAGCACGCAGTCCCTGCACCGCTAATGGCGCCGCTAAGGATGAGATACTTGCAATCGTCAGTCATGGCCCCAGAGACACGATCGACCGCAACCTACCCATTGGTTCCCAAACTTGCTGTTGCAGTAGTACGCAGATCCCTGGATAGGAAATGACAAGGAGCCCAGTACCAGCGCCCATTTGACTCCAATTTTGTTCACCAACGGGCCGCCCAAGAAACAAACCACAGCAAGAAGGGCGTAGTTGATAGCGTTTGTAATGTTCGATACCTGCGGCGTCGCAAGACCACCACCACCAAGGCCTGCCGATCACTCAGTCAGTCTTGATCGAGTCATACCCCGTGCAAGGGACGTACCAGCAATTGCATCAGACATGGCAGGTCCACAGAACGCTTGGACACTGAGGAGCATCATCTGGGTCAGACTGTGCTGCCATACCCGCTTCCACAGTGGGACAGTGTCCCTGTAGTGCTCCATGTCGATTCCATGGACGATCTCACCCGCAGCCGGGGAGGCAGGACGGTCCTCTTGAGTGGGTCCCTTGGGGGCAGCATCTGCTGTCTTGAAGTCGGCCATGGTGCAATGTATGTTGGATATGTTTCCAAAAGAACAGGATCGGGGAGAGCACCGGTTATATACCCCAACATCAGCTGCTGTATACCCTTACCCTCGGGTTATCTCCCGTATCTCTCCTCTCATGGCTGGTATCTGGGTGGGTCGATCCCCACGTTCCATCGTCTCCAACTGTGCCATGGGGTTCGCAGGGCCGATGCCGGTGGAAGGTCCAGGCGAAATGTCCTTGCCGACTGCATTTTAGCCTAAGACTGCCGTGGCGAGCTAAGCTTCCTGTCGAGCTGGAGGAGCGCGGAGCGATGGAAGGTCCACGCGAAGTAAACGCCATCGCTCCACAAAATCGGTGATACGCCGGTCGCATGGCGCCAATCGCTGTGATCCATTTTATCGGGTCTTTTATCGCATGATCGGGCCATCTTATAAATATCCAAGATTCAACGCTGGGTCGCTATCGCTCGTGATATTGACAGCTATCAACTTATCAGTGGATCAGGCCAGGTCAAACATTCCACGATCGATCAGGGCTGAGTCACTTTCAACCTCTTCTTTCTTCCCAGTTCCAATCCTCAATCGCCACCTCAATCCGGACCCTGCAACCCTCACAATGGCATCGCGAGCAAACACCAAAATCATCGTGGTCGGTGGCGGCGGCACAATGGGCTCTTCGACAGCCCTCCACCTCCTGCGCACCGGCTACACCCCCTCAAACATCACAGTCCTCGACACATACCCGATCCCATCCGCACAATCAGCCGGCTATGACCTGAACAAGATCATGAGCATCCGGCTGCGCAACAAGCCAGACCTACAACTTTCTCTCGAGGCATTGGACATGTGGAAGAACGATCCACTGTTCAAGCCCTTCTTTCACAACGTTGGAATGGTGCGTTACCGGTGGGCTCGGACATGATTGAGAAATTATGTTAATAAACGCGTAGATCGACGTCTCCTCAACAGAGGAAGGCATTGAAGGCCTCCGCAAGAAGTACCAGTCATTAGTTGACGCAGGCATCGGACTCGAGAAGACAAATTTCCTGCTTGAAAGTGAAGATGAGATCCTGGCGAAGGCGCCGCATTTCACACGGGAGCAGATCAAGGTACTTTCTACTTTCACCTCGGTCACTGGGTGAAATATGCTAATCGAAACGCAGGGCTGGAAAGGCTTGTTCTGCGGTGACGGCGGCTGGCTTGCTGCTGCCAAGGCCATCAATGCCATTGGGCTGTACCTGAAGGAGCAGGGCGTCAAGTTCGGATTCGGCGGGTAAGCATATCTAAGCTCAGGGACGTCAAATAACCTCTTGAGACTGACAATTGCAGTGCCGGGTCATTCAAGAGGCCTCTCTTCGCCGACGCCGGGGAGAAGACGTGCATTGGCGTTGAGACTGTGGACGGCACAAAGTACTACGCCGATAAGGTCGTTCTGGCAGCTGGAGCTTGGAGTCCCACATTGGTCGACTTGGAGGAGCAGTGCGTCTCAAAGGTACCATAATCCACTCCCGATCAAAGCAAGTGCATATGCTGATGATGCTCTCCTGTAGTGCTGGGTCTTCGCCCACATGCAACTCACCCCAGCCGAAGCAGCCGTGTACAAAGATACCCCAGTCATCTACGACGGCGACTACGGCTTCTTCTTTGAGCCGAACGAGTACGTTCCCTTCCAGCCACACAGAACACTATACTAACAGTCCCCAGAAACGGCATCATAAAAGTCTGCGATGAGTTCCCAGGCTTCACACACTTCAAATCCCACAAACCCTACGGCGCCTCCTCCCCAAAACCCATCTCCGTCCCCCGTTCCCACGCCCAACACCCCACGGACACATACCCGCACGCCTCCGAAATCACCATCAAAAAGGCCATATCCCGCTTCCTCCCCAAATTCAACAACAAGGAACTCTTCAACCGCGCCATGTGCTGGTGCACGGATACAGCTGACGCGAATTTGCTTGTTTGCGAGCACCCCCGCTGGAAGGGGTTCTATCTTGCGACGGGCGATAGCGGGCACTCGTTCAAGTTGCTTCCTAATATCGGGAAGCACGTTGTGGAGTTGCTGGAGGGGACTCTGCCGCCTGTTATGGCGGAGGCGTGGAGGTGGAGGCCTGGCAGTGGGGATGCGTTGAAGAGTCGGCGTGCGGCGCCGGCGAAGGATTTGGCGGATATGCCGGGGTGGAGGAATGAGGCGAAGATGTAATTCTGATTGTAGAGTAAGATGTATGATAAAATGGAACATTATTCGTCTATCTAAGGATTTTAATCTAATCTATACATTATTTGACATGGTATATAACGTCTAAGCATCAGCATAACAAAGGCAGAAAATTAAGAAACCGAAACCGAAACCGCGCAGTTTTATGTTGCCCAAGGCCTCCACAACCCATCCAGACTTCATATCACACCGAACAAGAGTCACGCCTCTCTTCGCTAAGCCTTGCTAGCAATCGCCTCCTCGTCATCCGCAAACGCGAACCGCGAGTACCTTCGGATCGACGCACCCTTGAAGTAGAACACGTACGGAATCGCACAGCAAGCCAGAGCAATGAACGCAAGCAGGGAGCTAGCCCACTGATCGCCCAATCGCTCGTACATCTGCTCCGTAAAGAGAACCGTCGACGCACCCCAGATCGACCGGATGAAGGTCTTGGCTGCAAGGGCGGAGGCAGCTTGGTGCTGGTACGTATCCACTGCGGTAATCGTTAGTACTCTGTCTCTCTTTCCCTTGCACAGGCAGTATATATGGGTGGAGTACATACCAAGGTAGTTATTCGCAGAGTTATACAAGAAGATAAACCCGAAGCCCACGGGCCAGCCACCAATCATCGGACCGAACCAGTGGAGATTCGGGTACGACGTCCACGCGAAAATAAACAGGCCGATGGGGATGAACCAGCAGGAGATCATCATTGGGATCAGCCGCGCCTCGGCGGGCGGTTTGCCGCCGTACTTGGCATACAGGGAGAGGTAGTGCTTGTTGACCATGGGGGCGCAGGCCGCGCTCATGAGCACGCCGATCGCGAGCGGGATGAACATTAGGCCTGTTGAGCCGGCGCTCCAGCCCTTGCCGCCTTGGTAGACGATCGGGTATGCGACGAAGAACATGTACAGTAGGCCGTAGAGGACGGACATGTACAGGGAGATGAAGAGGACGATTGGCTCGAGGAAGAGGAGCTGGAAGGGGCGGAAGAGGAAGACGCGGAGGCGTTCGGCCATTGGGCGGGCGTCCAGCTCGGTCTCAGTAACATATGTGGAGTCGTTTTGGGACTTGCGCAGCTTCTTTGCGCGCTTGGCTAGGATGGCGGGCGCGGAGGTCTCGGGGACCGTGAAGGTGATGAGGACCCAGGCGACGAAGGCAAGGATGAGCGTTAGCCAGTAGAGCCAGCGCCAGCCTGTGGCGTCTGCGAGGAAGCCGCCGGCTAGAGGGCCGATGGCGGGACCGATGAAGGGGCTTGCGGAGAAGGCGGCCATGGGCACGCCGCGCTCTTCGTTCTTCCACATGTCGGCTAGGGTGCCGCCGACGAGGGTCATTGGGGCGCTGAAGGCGATGCCGTCGATGGCGCGGCAGACGATCAGGGTTCCGATGTTCTTGGCGACGGCGCAGGGGATCACGAAGATGACTGCCAGGAGGAGGGTTACGGCATAAACGGGTCTTCGGCCGTACATTTCGGACAGGGGGGCGAATGCCATGGGGCCTGACTTGTTAGCTGCGCTCATCAGAGGACGAGAGGCCTGGACATACCAACGCCGAATCCAACGACAAACACCGTCACAACGACGAGACTGACTTCTCGCGAGACACCGAATGTCTCCGCGGGGCCTTCGATATCGGCCGTGATGACACTGCTGGCGAACGCGACGACGAAGCACGTAAAGGCGACCACCATGGTCACGTACCACTTCTTCGCTTTGGACCAGTTCTTGGGGTTCTCGGGGTCGTCGATGTGGAAGGTAACCAGCTTGTAGTCTTCTGTCTTTCCTTCGGCCGTTCGAACGGGCTTGATGATCTCGCCGGTCTGTGTCTCGTTGACGTATTCTTCGACATTGGCGTTGTCCGTCAGGGTGCGGAAAGGCAGGTCCCTTGGGTCAACCTCTCCTTGTGCGGAGCCCAGAGACACTGTCTGGGACAGTGCATTGTGATGGTGATCCGGGTGCTGTACCATGTTTGCGGTGGAGGATCCGGAATATCAGTAATCAGTATATATACTAGGTCGAGAGAACTGAAACCTGGCCGAGTCACCAGGCTGAGGCGGGGCTTGCAGGGTCTTATATAGCCCGCCATGCTTGCGAGACGGGCTGGCCACACTACTATAGAATGGCCTGGCGCAAACAAAAAATGATGGCTCACTCGGTGCGATTTGCCAGCCCTGGGAAGAGGCCCTTCCGTTGCCCGATTCGGATGTTCCCACTCGCCAACTTGGGTAATATGCCACGAGCTGGGCAGCGGGCCCAGTCTGAGGAAAGATCCAGACTGTCAGTGCAGGTGCCACTGCCGTCAGAATCATGCCCTTTTAATACAGGTCAGAGAATCTTCTCGTAGCATTCATCCAAACTGAAAGTGGAATGGACGTGATACTCACCGCGCCATGCCGGTCAAGGTTCGCGCGTCATCCCAAGCATTGACGTGCAACAATAGAAAGAGCTTGGGTATTGCTTCGGTGCCGCAGCTTACGTGTCCAGTCCGGTCAGCTTTAGCCCGAGCACACACCACCTGGTCCATGCCACAGGGCCACACTGTGAAGTGTGAACGCGCCTGGACGGCGTTGGGATTGGAGAAGGAAGATGTTGTGTCACTGTTGGGTGGCCCGCTTCTTCCGCTGCCAAGACCGGGCCTTGCCACGGAGCATATCGCCGGATTCGGTAACATGCTCCTGCTGATGTGAGATGAGGTCAGGATGGTAACCCTGGGCACTGGGTGCACTGGGTCAGTGCAAACAACAAAATAACTGGGACAGACTTCTGACATATAAGGGCTTTATGATTCAGAGCAATATAGACTGAGGACACATAGGCAAGGTTCCTGTTTCGATGGATCCCTTCTCTGCACGCTAACTCAGGATCGAGCTCAAAATATATGTCTCAAGTGACAGGTCGTATGACAGCCCGGAGACGGCCATTTTCCAGTGGAATGCTCTCCCTTGGCAACGCATGGGGCGAGAAAGTCTATAATGTCCCTATAATGAGCTCTGAGTCTACGTATAGACGCAAGTATGTACCTCGACTTTGCAGCCATAGTATGTAGAGTCAGCCGGTGTCGGAGACGAGTCTTGGCAGATTCTGAAGCGCGCCCACACGTGACGATAAGATAAGCCGCAAGGGGACTAGCGCGGGGCAGGATCGCCGATCTCCAGAAAATCGAAATCGTGAATTTTCCGGCAGCAGACGACGAGCAGCCAGCTCAAGCTCAGCTCATTCTCCTTTGCTGAATCCTCAGTCGGAGCTCGCTCCTCGAGGAGTCTCATCGATCTTCACTACTAGAGGTCTTAACTGGTCCTCGTTATCTCCTTCGATTCCCCTCGACACGTTCCGATTTTCGAGTCGCCTCTCCGTTGACCTCCGTTGAGTCACCTACAAACGGCCTCGCAATGACTTCTCCTTTCGACTCGGCGGACTTCGCCCTTCCCGGCTCCGTTGCCTATTCTCGCTCCCGTGGCCGGGCTATCGCTGCTTCTATCGGCGCCAAGGATGTCCGCGGCCAATGGGTTCACTACGTCCACACTTCAGAGCGTCTGCCCGAATTCCAGCAAGACGTCCTCAAGCAGCTCCTCACCTACGGCGATATCACCGACATCCCTCCCTCATTCAGTGCTGAAGATGGCGAATTCGATGTCTTCTACGTCTTTCCCCGAACCGGAACCATCTCCCCGTGGAGCTCGCAAGCCACCGGTATCTCCCACGTCTGCGGCTTGAAGAACTACGTGAAGCGCATCGAGCGCGGTATCAAGATTTCCTGCCTGCGACCCGCGTCCGGAGAGTACAAAGATGGTTTCAAGGACATCCTCCACGACCGGATGACCCAGTTGATCAGCCAAGAGGAACCCGACTTGCACCTGATGTTCTCCGAGCACAGCCCTCTCCCCCTCGAGACGGTCCCGCTCAGCGGTAGTGACAAGTCGCCCAAGGAAGTCCTGCAGGAGGCAAACAAGCGAATGGGTCTAGCGTTGGAAGAATCTGAGATCGACTACCTCGCCGCTGCCTACGGTCCCGACGGCCCGCTCGCTCGTGACCCGACCGATGTTGAGCTTTTCATGTTTGCTCAGGTCAACTCGGAACACTGCCGTCACAAGCAGTTCAACGCCTCCTGGACAATCGACGGGATGGAGATGCCAAACAGCCTCTTCTCCATGATCCGGAACACCCACAGGAAAAACCCCGAATTCACCGTGAGCGCGTACAGCGACAACGCCGCCGTGCTGCAGGGATTCGACTCCTCTTTCTGGGCCCCCGACACTACCACCGGAGAGTGGAACCACACCAAGGAACTCGTCCACTTCCTTGCCAAGGTGGAGACTCACAACCACCCCACTGCGGTCTCGCCCTACCCTGGTGCTGCTACCGGATCTGGAGGTGAGATCCGTGACGAAGGTGCCGTCGGACGCGGTTCCAAGCCCAAGGCCGGTCTTGCTGGTTACTGTGTGTCCGACCTCAACATCCCTGGCTTGAAACAGCCCTGGGAGTTGGATGTTGGCAAGCCTAACCACATCGCCAGTCCCCTCGACATCATGCTGGAAGCCCCAATTGGAAGTGCCGCTTTCAACAACGAGTTTGGTCGGCCCTGTATCACCGGTTACTTTCGTACTCTGACGACTGAAATTGACGTCGGTAACGGAGAGAAGGAGATCCGTGGTTACCACAAGCCGATCATGCTTGCTGGTGGTGTTGGTACGGTCAGACCTCAGCATGCCATCAAGAAGCCAGATGTCGTCAAGCCTGGCTCCTACCTTGTTGTGCTGGGTGGCCCCGCTATGCTCATTGGTCTTGGTGGTGGTGCGGCTTCCAGTATCGACTCCGGTGAAGGCTCCGTCGACCTCGACTTTGCGAGTGTCCAGAGAGGCAACGCTGAGGTGCAGCGCAGAGCACAGGAAGTTATCAATGCCTGCACAGCCATGGGCGATAACAACCCCATCAAGTTCATCCACGATGTCGGAGCTGGCGGTCTCTCCAACGCCTTACCCGAGCTGATCCACGATTCCGGCCTGGGCGCCAAGTTCGAGCTGCGCGAAATCGACAGCGCGGACCGAAGCATGAGCCCCATGCAAATCTGGTGCTGCGAGGCTCAGGAGCGATATGTCATGGCCGTTGGTGAAGAGAGCATGAACAAGTTTACCGCTATCTGCCACCGTGAGCGCTGCGGTTTCTCCGTCGTTGGCCGCGGAGAGGGTGGCTCGGAAGAGGACAAGAAGCTGATTCTCATGGACCGCGAGTCTCAAGAACACCCGACCCCCATCGACCTTCCCCTCTCTGTGCTTTTCGGCAAGCCCCCACGAATGACTCGCACTGTGGATTCCAGGAAACTGAAGCTTCCTGCTGTCGACACCAGCCTTACCACCTACCTTCCCTCGCTTGCGCCTAATCGCGCGGAGCTGATCGGTGAAGCTGCCAACCGTGTCCTGTCCCTCCCTGCTGTTGGCTCCAAGTCTTTCCTCATCACCATTGGCGACCGTACTGTTGGTGGTCTCACTGCCCGTGACCAGATGGTTGGCCGATGGCAGACTCCCGTTGCCGACGTTGCCGTCACTGCCACTGCTCTTGCTCAGGGCGTAAAGACTGGTGAGGCCATGGCAATGGGTGAGAAGCCCACGCTTGCCCTTATCTCTCCTGGCGCCTCTGCTCGCATGGCCGTTGCTGAGTCGCTCATGAACATCGCCGCCGCCGACCTCGTCGACCGTTTGAGCCGCGTCAAGCTCTCCGCGAACTGGATGTCCGCCAGTAGCCACCCTGGAGAGGGTGCTGCTCTCTACGAGGCTGTGGAGGCCATCGGTATGCAGCTCTGCCCTCAACTTGGTATCAGCATCCCCGTCGGCAAGGATTCCATGTCCATGAAGATGAAGTGGAAGGACGAGTCCGGTGCCAAGGAGGTCACCGCGCCCATGTCACTGGTGATCTCCGCGTTTGCTCCAGTCGAGAACTACCGCAAGACCTGGACTCCTGCTCTTCGCCACCCCGAAGACGTTGGCGACACCGTGCTCATGTTCGTCGACCTTTCTCTCGGACGCAAGGCTATGGGCGGTTCCGCTCTTGCCCAGGTCTTCAACCAGGTCGGCGCTGAATGCCCTGACCTCCGCAACGTCGAGCTTTTCAAGGACTTCTTCGACGCCACGCAACAGCTCCAGGAGGCAGGCATTGTCCTGGCTTACCACGACCGTTCCGACGGTGGTCTCTTCACCACCCTCGCTGAGATGATGTTCGCTGGCCGCTGCGGTGTTGAGATCCTGCTTGACACCATCTGCTCCAGCCTCGACACCAGCAGCTTCGTCGAGACCCTCTTCAACGAAGAGCTTGGAGCCGTCTTCCAGGTCCGCAAGGAGCACGAGATGCAGTTCCGCTCCTGCTTCGCTACCTGTGGTCCTCCCGCCGGCCTGATCCACAAGATCGGTCGCGTCTCCGAGCGACCCAAGCAGAACCTCGCCATCTACTACAAGGCCAGCCAAGTCTACCGCAACAGCCGCGCCAACCTCCAGCAAACCTGGACCGCCACCTCCTACCATATGCAGAAGATCCGCGACACCGCCGCCTGCGCCGACCAAGAATACGCCAACATCCTCGACGACGCCGACCCCGGTCTCTCCTGGAACCCCACCTTCGATCCCAAGGACCGCGCCCTCCCCTTCCTCACAAGCCTAACCTCCATGTCCCCCTTCGCCAACAAGCCCCGCGTCGCCATCCTCCGCGAACAGGGCGTCAACTCCCAAGCGGAAATGGCCTTCGCCTTCAACACCGCCGGCTTCGCCGCCATCGACGTCCACATGACAGACATCATCTCCGGCCGCGTCTCGCTCTCCTCCTTCGTCGGCCTCGCCGCCTGCGGCGGCTTCTCCTACGGCGACGTCCTCGGCGCCGGCCAAGGCTGGGCCAAATCCGTCCTCCTCCACGACACAACCCGCAACGAGTTCCAGTCCTTCTTCAACCGCCCCGACACCTTCGCCCTGGGCGTCTGCAACGGCTGCCAGTTCCTCTCGCGCCTGTCGTCCCTCATCCCCGGCGCCTCGCACTGGCCTACCTTCGAGCGCAACGCCTCAGAGCAGTACGAGGGCCGCGTGGCAATGGTCCGCATCTCCGACCCAGACCCCTCAAACCCCTCCGTCTTCCTGCACGGCATGCACGGGTCTTCATTCCCCATCGCCGTCGCGCACGGAGAAGGCCGCGCCTCTTTCACCGCGTCGTCGACCGACCCTTCTTCCTTCGTCGCGAAGGGTCTCGCCCCCGTGCAGTTCGTCGACAACGCTACCCTCACCCCGACCATGAAGTACCCCTTCAACCCCAACGGCAGCCCCGAGGGTATCGCGGGTATCCGCAACGAGAACGGTCGTGTCATGGCGATTATGCCGCATCCCGAACGGACGGTTATGAATGGGATTGCTAGCTGGTTGCCTGCTAAGGCTGAGGAGTGGGGTGATATTGGCCCATGGGGACGGATCTTCTTCAGTGCCAGACGCTGGGTTGGTTAGATGTCTAAAAGATTCAGATTGTTTCTGCATCGTTTCTCTTCTAAATTCTATCATGCTGTTATGTTGTTCATGCGCGTACGTATATATGGAGCTCAGAAAATATACTACTGCTACGAAGATATGTGGTCCAAAAGATACCGTTAGATTCAAATCAAGTTCATTTTATAAATCACTTGTTTTGCCTGGATAGGCATCTTCGACAAATCACTGCATAGTCATACCCAGGATATCTTCCCGAAAACGCCAGTCTATCCCGCCGATTCCTTAACAGAGTCTACACAAACGCCAGGCCCAACATAACAAATCATCAGAAACAGACCCCTATCATAAGAACAGCTGCCTTGAGGGAGCTATGGCCATCCAGCGGCCCTCTCCTTCCTCCACTCCAACTTCTCCGCCAGCATCTCCCAACTAACCTGTCCATCGACGCGCCCAATGCCCTTTAACCCCGCAGCCAGGAACGCAACGAGGTGGTTAAACTGGCCCTGGATATCCTTCAAGCGCTGAACATACTGAGGTTCGTGGAGCGGCGTTCGACGATGCGGCCAATCGTGGTTCCCGGCTTCGTCATCATCTTCATCTTCAGACTGGGAGTTAGCTTCGTCGAAGTCCTCGTCTGTGTCTTCTTCGTCTCCGTAGGAGTACTCATAACGTGTCTTGCGGGGCGTTGGCGTTAGGCTTGTCTTGAATGGTTTCCCTGGTACTTGTCGACGAGGCGTTTGGGTTGGGTCTGCGTGTTGCTTTTGATTTTGGGAGTGGAAGGCGTGCAAGTCTGCGAAGGAGATGCAGAGGTCGAGGATGGTGATTGTGGCTTGGTGGAGGGGGTGAAGGTTCTTGGAGAGGAGACACTGCTCCTCTAGCGATGCCATGTATGAGCGGTGCGCGGCTATCATAGAATCCACGTCGGTGGCAGTCGAGAGGGATTTACGTAGTGATTCGGTGGTGGATGAGATGACGAAGCCGGTGAGGTGGCTGTAGAGGACATTAAGGAACCAGAGTAGGTTGTGGCGGAGGGCGTAACTGAGTGTTTGGCCTCTGGGGTTCGAGTTTTGACTGGGTTCGTGGTGAGAGTATTGGAGGCGTTGTTTCACGATGCTGTACTTTGCTCTGCGGATCTGCATCAGGAAGGTTGAAACGCGCTGGTAGGCGGCGATGCCGTCTTTGGTGATGATGTTTGCGACAGGCCAGGGCAGAATGTAATCGAAAGATAGGCTTGAAAGCACCTTCACTGAGCGGCTGCGGTTGTCCGCGTCTTTGCCGGACCGGACGATTAGTCGGGTCGGGTCGATGAAGGGCAAGGAGCCGAATGCTGTTTGAGCGAGCTCTGTGAGCAGAAACCTGTCGCTCCATCCACCCTTTCTTCGGTCAATCAGCTCAAATATCTTGGTGTCGATCGGTCCAATCAGGCTTATATCCTTGCAGAGATGGATATGTTCCAGGGCCTGGAGCGATATCCATAAACCGCATTGCTCGTCCAACTCCTTCCGCAGGAGAGACGATGTAAATGCGTGATTATCGTTGACCACTTTGCTGAAGGCAGCGTCAAGCAGTGCATAAAACGGAAGGCAGAGTGACGACGGGTCAGAGGGACAGACATCCTCAAAGCTTAGAGCTGTTTTGCCCTGTGCCTCTAGGCTCTCGGCCTTGTTCAAGCGATTCAAGAAGACCATACTTTTGCCAGTGATGAATATCCGATGAGCAAAAGGGCGGAGAAAATTGGGTATCCTCGCTAGCTCCGATTGCGTATCCAGCATATACCAGTCGTGCCATAGCGTCCGCAAGTCATTTTTCTGGCGGTTCTCGGAGATGAAAAATAACTCAGGGCTTTCTAGCTGGCCGCTTTCCATCCAGCGATAAAGAGGACGAGCGTAGGTTTCAAATGATGAGAAAAAGATACTGGCTAACAGAGCAAAATTCTCGTCGTCCCCAGCTGCTTGCGTGATGCATACCAAATCGAATAGGAGGTCCAAGCATTGAACACCATTTGCTGCTCCGGTTTTGTCGATATCAGAAACGAGGTCAGCCAGGAGGATGAGCAATTTTGATTCGCGCTGGACATCATCGGACAACTGCAGGAGGCTTATGGCCACCGACGAGCCTTTTGCAAGGAACCGGGACTGCACGTCGGAGAGAAATACATCGAACTTGTGCAAGCAGTCCTCGATGCTGCGGTGGAACGTTTGCATGTAAGCAGCGGATTGCGGCGCTCTGGTAAATCGTCTTAGAGCGTCAATCTTAGTCCCACAAGCGCTTATTGAGCGCAAGACGGACGAAAGCGCCTCTTGAGACAAGTGTGAAAGTGTATACCGTCGGTCCACCTCAACGTTCCCGTCAACCCGCCATAAAAGAGACGTTGGCAATCCTTGCAGCATGAAAATCGCTTCCCTTACGATTTGAAGCTCGGTCAACTCCTGGAAAGATTCTTTGGTGCTTTCCGAGTGATTCGACCTATTCTCATCCCTCCAGAACTGCACGCTCTTGATGGACGTCACAAGAGCTTCATCTTCCCCTGAAGAGAATATGCTGTCGGGAATCACGTAGTCATCTTCCGAGGCGATTTGAGTGAAGCTTCGGAGAGCCTGATGGTCGCTGGATATTGAAGAGATATCGTCCTCCTCGGATGAGCTAGCACCATAGTCGACGTTTTCCCAGATATCCTCGTCGCAATATGCGGCGCCGGAGGCATCGAAGTCGGTCCACGAGAGCTGCTGCTCCTCGTCCTGGGGTTGGGGCTTTGCAAGCCGATCAACGTTCGAGAGTTGAGCCGGCCGATCTGCAAGCTGCAGAAGGAAAGAGAGAAGCTCCGGAAACACGTTGCTGCGGTGCTCGTCCAATTCAGCGAGTCTTGGCTGAAGCGCATCGGCCAGATCGTCGCGGTTGAGAACCCGGAATTTCTCCAGTAGCCCTTCAAGTTGCTTCGCTACAGCAAACTGGTCAGTCCGCCCATGCAGCGATGTCTTGAGAGATTCATCGACGCGACGTTTGAGCGCTCGGAAGCGAGCAGTGTCCTAGAGATCTATTAGCGGTGGTCGGTCCGATGTCGATGACGCGTACCTTGCCCGTCTTCGCGACCGCAACGATAAGGTCTTCAGTCGCGCTTTTCGGATTATCGGCGGCTGCCATAGTCATAACTGCGCCCATCCAGACCCGATTCCATAATCAACCGCATAGAAGAGTTATAGAAGAGTCAAGGTAAAGCGGAGGTTGACGTCTTGCCCGATTAGTCGAGTGTTGCCACGCTAGTCCCGATCGGGTCAAGGCGGCGAGGCCAAAAGGACAATTCGAGACTCTGCGTTTCCCTCCCTCAAGTCCCGTCTGCAAGCAATTCGTCGTTTTTCTCATCGGCAGTCAACATGGCTGTCGCTAGGCCTATTCGCATGCTCTCTGTAGCATGCGTGGTCCTTCTGATATTCCTGGTGTTTCAGATGAGGAGAAGCCCTTCATATGTCGGCACGGGGGCAAGCCCGTACAACGGCATGACCGCCGACCCTCTGAAAGATCGTACGCCTCGCCCCTATTCTTCGTTCTGCCCTTCGATCCTTGCAGTCTTCCTTTGCTGACTCTCTCCGAAATACAGCAACGGGCGAGCCCGAGGGCCACTTGTGGCGCGCCGACGAACACGATTACGCTCCTGACAGCACCGACTCCGCCCGCACCAATGCCGCCATTATCTCCCTCGTGCGGAACGAAGAGTTGAACGAGCTCATCCCGAGTATGCGAGACCTGGAGAGGACATGGAATCACAAATTCAACTACCCCTGGATTTTCTTCAACGATGTGCCCTTCACCGAGGAGTTCAAGAAGCGGACACAGGCGGAGACCAAAGCCAAATGTCAATATGGTATATAAACCTCTTCGACGTGTCGTCTGTGGCAGGAATTGACAATTTGCAGAACTCGTCCCCAAGGAACACTGGGACGTCCCAAGCTCCATCGACATGAACCTGTTTAAGGAGTCCGCGGAGCTGCTGAAGGAGAAGGGACTCCAGTACGCCGATAAGATCTCCTACCACAAGATGTGCCGGTGGAACAGCGGCATGTTCTACAAGCACCCCGCGCTCAAAGACTACCGCTACTACTGGCGCGTGGAGCCCAAGGTTCAGTTCTTCTGCGATGTCGACTACGATGTCTTCCGCTTCATGGAGGATCGCAACATGACCTACGGTTTCACGATCAACCTGTTCGACGCCCCCGAGAGTATTCCCTCCTTGTGGCCGACGACCCAAGAGTTCCTTGCTGCGAACCCCTCCTACCTCTCCGATAACAACATGATGGAATGGCTGACCGACGACCAACTCCGCCCCGACCACAATCGCGATGCGCACGGATACTCGACCTGCCACTTCTGGTCCAACTTTGAGATTGGCGATATGGAATTCTTCCGCGGCGACAAGTACTCTGCGTACTTTGATTACCTTGACCACGCCGGCGGCTTCTTCTACGAGAGATGGGGAGATGCACCGGTGCATTCGATCGCGCTGGGACTGTTCGAGGACAAGAACAAGGTTCATTGGTATGTTCGCCTAACATTGCGAGAAATCAAAAGAAAGCGTTGCTAAACAGTTGCCCCCTAGGTTCCGCGACATTGGCTACCGCCACATCCCCTACTTCAACTGCCCCAACTCGCCCAAATGCTCCGCTTGCACACCCGGGAAATTCTACGACGGTGCATCATTCCTCGCCAAAGAAGACTGCCGGCCCAGCTATTTCAAGCACGTGGGAACTCACTGATGCGCTTTGAATACTTCGATTATACCCATACATATAAACATACCATTTCTTCGCCTAGCGCCCGCTGCACGGTCGCATTTACATTCAGATTTGCATTCATAGGGTTGATGATATTGCACATTCAAATTCGTTAGTTCTTTCGGCGGCGTTCCATTTGGCTTATCCATGCCTGCAATGCTTTTGTATCTCGTCATCTTCTGGTTGTCCCTCTCCCTTCTTCTGTAATAGTCGTTGGATTATAAAAAGAGGGGCTTCCCTTCCTGTATATCTTCTTTTCTTTTACCTTTCCCCCCTAATCTACCCTGAGCCACCCTTGTACATGCCGTTCAATGGTTCAAGCATAAATAGAACAATGTCTTCTTTATAGATGTCTTCGGTAGAGTACAACAGCTGCTCAAAAGGAGAAAAGATCACAGATCAAAGAACTTCGTCGTAGCACTGGTATAGAAAGCAATGATGCACCTCCATCGACACCCGAAACAACAGCACAACTCTCCACTGCATTCTAGAGTATGTATACAGCTTTCCTATCTCGTCGGCCGGACGGGAACAACACAGCCATGGAATTTACGCGATTCTGCATGTCTCGTCGCTTACTCCTCCTCGGGGTAGAGCTCCTCGCGGAGGGGGACACCCAGCTCCAGGCGGAGACCCTCGAGGGCCTCGAGGTACTGCTTGTACTGCTCCTGGTTCTCGACCTTGGCCTTGATACCTGCTGGTTGTGAGTTTTGTTCTTTCTCTGATGTAAGTGGTGGGTGTGTTGGAGCGCACCTTCGAAGACGCGGACAGCGGTGGGGAAGTCATTGACGCGGCGGGAGGCACGGAGGGCAGCGGAGAGGACCTCGACGGAGGGGACGAGATCGTAAGCGAAGCAGTTGTTCAGGTTGCGCTGGGAGCGGCGTTGTTAGTCGGGATTTGTTTGTGATTGGGCTCGTATGACGACACGGAGCTGGTCCGCTCGCCGGCAATCGACACGACATACCTGGAGCTCGAAAACATCCTGCACACCATCGAATTCCTTCTCGAATCTAGACGGGCAGTGTGTTAGTTGCATTGCACGTTATCGCACTCAACCCGCCAAAAGGTCGGGCCAGCCGGTGAGCTAGCTGTCCATCCCCCTGCGCCCGACGCCGCTCGATCGCGGCGCCAGACGGCCGGAAACACACCCAATGGCACTCGGAATATAAGCTCGTACCTAGCGGAGAACTGCTCGTATGTCTCGTCGTCGTGCTGGCCGGAGCGGAGCTTCATGGAGGTGCTGAACGCCGGGCGACCGATGAAGGCAGCGGGCGTCTGGACGCGGGCCCGGGAGACCTGGGGAGCTCTGAAAAGGGCGGAGGGGCGGACGGCGCGCGTCGCGAGACGGAAGACGGGCATGGAAGGCATGGCGAGGGGTGTGTGGATGTGGAGGGGACGAATTGTCGCTGGGAGGCGGGCGAGATGGTGAAGGTCGAGGTTGAGCCGGAGACGCTAGGCTGGGTTTTTTGCGGGCGCCGATGGGTGGTGTGAGGTTTTGGTGCCTTAAGGCGGAAACTGCAGGTGTCATCCATGCTGCAGCTGGTCGGTGTTGGTGCCTTGTTGCCTGGCGGATGCCTGAAATCTCTGCCGGAATGCGGCCTGAGGCTGGTGATTTCTTTTTGTTGGATCTCATTGGTTGGGCGCAGTCAACAAGACTAGCGGCTTTGATTGGCTATTCGGGAAATGCACGGCATCTTCCGTCCCGAACTCCAAGGATCGCTTTCAGGGCGATGAACGGTACTCGTCACGGTACCTAAGGACAAGGTATCTACCGTAGTACCATTGGCGAGTTTCTTGATTATGACCTGAGAATAGTCCTCGATATACTGCGCATATCATACACTGTCTAGATACCTTTACACCTGCGGTTAGTGTTGGGGATTTTAGCTTTGTCGTAAACTACTATCTCATTGCGACAATATATATTTCCCAGCCGAGTGTGTGTGGCAATGGCTTGAATTTTGCGGTACGGCTATCAATGAAGCCAATTTAACGGTCAGGACATACGCCGTACTCCAGGTACTGGCCCATATGAGTTAAATTAATCGACCTGATCTAATTATCGAGTGCAACCAATGCCGAGTTCCAGCTCAAATTCGTTGAGCGGCGTGCATGTGAAGATGGTACTCCGATCTCCGCTCTTCTGCCAAAACATGCTAGAAGAGCGTCCATTAAACAGAGTAGCATGTTATTCTCTGAGTATATGATCAATGAGCAGCAGCATATTAACCAACTCCAGTGAGCTACTCGTAGTCTTGTACGTGGTAGTTGTATACCGGGGGGGGGATCGTACACGTGATGCGCCCCTTTATCGCGGGGCTAAACCCTTTCCGGCGCCCAACGGAGGCGCCGGAGACAGCAACCTTGACCCTTGGCCTTGACCCTTGGGACTTCGACGCCAAAAAGACACGCTTTTCAACTCTTTCCTCAACAACTTCGCTTCTCTCCCTCGGCGTCGTCTTCGGGGCCTTTCTTTCCTTCTCTGCTTCCGGCATTTTCTTTCTTCCTTCTCTCTTGCATCGCGTTTGATTCTCTCTAGTCGCGCTTCTCGCCCCTGTCAGCGTCCGACGAGAAAAAATCGATCAGTCGTTTCCTCGCTTCCCCAGCCCAACCCTTCCCCGGCGCAATTCTGTCTCGACGCGATACAATTACAATGGAATACCTGCAGAACATTCAGAAGCCGTCCATCGATCGGCCTTTTGGCATCGAGCTATGGCCGATCTTCGACAAGGCCTACGAGGCCGTCATGGGCTACCCTGCCAGCGAATTCAAGTTCGTTGAGGGTGAGACGCCCATGTCGACGTTCAAGGAGACCGCCATCATGCTCGTTGTCTACTACGTGACCATCTTCGGCGGTCGCGAGATCATGAAGAACCGCCCGGCCTTCAAGCTCAACACCCTGTTCATGATCCACAACTTCATCCTGACCACCGTCAGCGCGATCCTGTTGGCGCTCTTCGTTGAACAGCTTCTGCCCACCCTCTGGAACCACGGCGTTTTCTACGCCATCTGCGACCACCGCGGTGGATGGACACAGCCTCTGATTATCCTGTACTATGTGAGTGCATCCTGGCGCGCGATTGGAGGCGCAGCTAACAAGGCCAGCTCAACTACCTGAACAAGTACCTCGAATTCATCGACACCGTCTTTCTGTTCCTCAAGAAGAAGCCTCTGACCTTCCTCCACACCTACCACCACGGCGCCACCGCTCTCCTCTGCTACACTCAGTTGATTGGTTTGACTGCTGTCCAATGGGTTCCCATCACCATTAACCTTCTGGTCCACGTTGTCATGTACTGGTACTACTTCCAGAGTGCTCGCGGTATCCGCATCTGGTGGAAGAAGTACATTACCGTCCTTCAGATCGTTCAGTTTGTTATTGACCTTGGTGAGTAACCGCGCGCTTGATCCGCTGAACTCCGGCTAACCGCGACATCAGTTTTTGTCTACTTCGCCTCCTACACCTACTTCTCGTCGACTTACTTCCCCTGGGCTCCCAACATGGGCAACTGCGCCGGAGAAGAATTCGCTGCTTTCGCTGGAATGGGCATCCTGACCTCCTACCTCGTCCTCTTCATCTCGTTCTACATCGTCACCTACAACAAGGCTGCCAAGACCGGCCGTCCCCGCCGCAACACTGGCAAGCAGGCTGTCATTGACATGGCGCGGTATGAGGTCGCTCCTGCTTCTCCTTCCAGCGAGAAGAAGACCAACGGGTCCGCCGTTTCCACTGGCCGCTCTAACGGCCCCGTCACCCGCTCTCGCAAGGCGTAAGTGCGACCCGAGTACGACGACGCTCGACGCATGTGAGCTCGTCAAGTTCACCCGCGTGCGGCGAGTTTCTCGGTCCTCTCCAGGCGTTGTCCACGGACGTGGATGTTCCCGACGCCTGAAACCAAGCCGGACGGTTCCTTTCCTGATTGTATTATGGTGCCGAAGTACTACTTTTAATGAATGACCCTGATGACCTGGTCGCCTTTGACCAGATGATGCATGTCGCAGCGACCTTTGTGGCATTGGTGGGTTGCAAGCTACCGGATGTTGGCATGAAGGTTAAAATAATTTCACGGAACGGTTACCTGCCCAGACTGTTCTCGGTGTATTCTACAGATGGTTTGGTCTTCTTGCATTTGCTTCTCTTGTCTCTACTTCTCTTCGCTTCTTCCTGCCGGTTGCAGATCTTCCTGTTATCTTTTGACATTCTTAGTATCTATAGATGGCGGCAACCTAAGAGTAATATGTGTTTTGTTTGTGTATATAATGTGTTAGGATGAGAATCATATCTTTCATGATGCCCTTGCCCCCTTCGAATGGCATACAGTTCCGACCACAGCCGAGACCATCAACGGCCGCAATGTGACTCGACCCCAACGTTACAACGCAGCCGGATACCTTGTCGCACAAAAGTCATAGCGGAACCTACCCCAGGCCCGTGCAACTGTGACTCGATGTGACGGTCCTACTCTAGCCCTGGGATGTTGCACTACGCATTAATTCCAGAGCCTTATCCGCACGAAGCGGCGATCGATCCAGCGCGGTCGAGTCAAAACTCAGGAATGATCAAAGCTCTGGAGCTGACTCGTTGAGAGACGGACGGCCCTGGGCATCTCATTCGCCTTGACTCGCCTCGACTCGCAAGGCAGACCCCCCGGTCCAGCGCAAGGTCCAATGCTTGCCCGGCCTGTGCTGGATTCTGCGCAGCCCGGAGAATTTCTCCAGGACCTCGACGGCGACCTGAATAGTCTGGCTCAAGGCACGGTTGGTTGCACTGCATACCCGGACCTAGGTGTACTGACCACTCGCACGATGAGGAATAGATGGGACGGGGATGGGGGAGAGGGCTCATCTAGCAGGGATATTGAGTGCTTGCAATGTTTTGATCTCCGGCTTTGCTAAGCTGGTCTAGGTGGAGTGCAGGTGGTCTCGGATGCTACTGTAGGCCCTAGGGTAGGGTAGTACCGGGGCAAGGTTCGATAACGTCTGACGGGCGTCAGCCGGATGCGGAAGACAGTGCTTTGGTTCGGTGGTGGTGGGAATATAGGGGGAGTTTATACGGAGTACAGACCCTGAACTGTCGAGTGAGTAATATATGACACCGCATGGATGGCATGATCTGGTAGTCTATGAGTATGATATCAACTCAACCGGAGCAGCAGTCTCCTCCGAATATGACATGCCACCATCCATCTGTCTATATATAAATCAATAACCCCGAGCCCACAGTACCATATAATATATTGTAGAGCTCCGAGTCCCGACGCTCCGTCCGTCCCCCGTCGTCCGGGCATTAGACTTAGCGAGCATTTCCCAGATTAATATTGATTGACCTGACCCGTTGAAGACCCATTTTCAGCGTTTTCCTCGCCGTTTCTCCACACGTAGCCCGCATGCAGTCCAGTGTCCACAGTCGAAGACGATCATCGCTTCTTTCCAAGTTCCAACTTCCAAGGTCCGGCCGTTTCCACGGAAGAATGAGAATCAGCCGAGAGAGTATGTTGATCACTAGCTTTTGATCATACTAGGTAGTTTCTGCAGGCGCGATGGCTACCCACGCTGCAGCTTATCATGGCCTCGGGATGATAAGGGCTGGGTCGACCCTGCTCTACGCACCCTCCTCCGGCGGACAATCTGTCTTAATATGCGATAGTAGCTAGCAGGTAGCACACGGAGTCGACGAAAATAGTTCATGGCTACGAGACGACGGTTTTCTCGGCTGGCTCGGGTAACGGGTTCGAGTTCGCTCCCCTGTTTCAGGTTGAGCGGGTGCATCCTGGGAACCGCGTGGATGGCGCGTTTCATGTTAGCAGAGCGCGCTCAACGGCTTGCCAGTGTCGGTGATATAGACGAGACAGGGAGAGGAACAGGGGCAGGAACTGAGCGGGTGAAAGCGTGCAGAGAACGAGAGGGGTGTGCAGCGCTTGGCCCGGCAGTGACAGTGAAGTTGATGGAGTGTCGTTGGGATAGTCAGAAGCAGATAGATGAGAAAGGCTCGGCTGACATCAAGCTATCGACCCATGGGCTATTGTTCACGGCGAATTCCCTGGAAGCTGCCTTCTTGGGGAACTCATCCGATCGCTAGAGTGCGGTCGCTATGCGTTGAGGGCACTGGGCTGGGGTCACCGTTCTGCTTGGTCGTCACTCTCAGGGGTAATTCTTCAGGATGAACAGGGATCGCACTGACGCGGACGCTGCGGTTGCATCCAATCCATGTCGACTCGGATTTGGATTTGGATTCGGTTGCGTTCGGAATTGGACTTGTGAGCATGACCGTGACCTGTCAGATCGCTAGCTTGTTGACGCCCGCTCGACGCACCGGCTTGGCTACGGGCGCCTCCTTATTGAATATTCCGTAGACGATCTGTTCGTGGTGAAGTGATTTCGGAGCTGTCATACCATTGTCTTGGGTCGTTCTTGCGGTGAGGACGACCCTATTCACTGCCCGGATGCCGAGCTGCGAAGCGAGGAAAGGGATAGCTCTGACTTTGACATGGCTAGCTAGCAAGCTACCGACGGTATAGCCAAGGCCATTTCATCGTTCATGGCTCGCATCGTAGTGAGGATCTGAAACCGCAGCTGACGTTGACGAGCGGGAGGCTGGGCATGGGCGCGCAGTCCGGCCCATGCATGATGCAACTCTGCAAGTGCAGTTTGCTCTGGGGTAGCCGGACCTGTTTCATGTTAGCGATGGCAATGGCATGGAGACTCGACTCGAGGCTGGGAGACTAGACCAATGAGCGACGGTGGACGCAAGGCAGGAGGCGCCAGACTCGAGTGCGGTTACTGGTCACTGGTGAAGAGGGCATGCACTATGCAGGACGCGTGAATGGCTGCAGCAGGTCACATTTTGCAGGACTCAGGATTGGGTGCATAAGACTGTATAGCATAGGGGGAGAGCTAGTTTTTGGGTGCCAGCCACTCAGCCAGGTACCGTTTCACATTGCGACCGTTCCTGCAGGGCCGTTTTTGAGTCTGCAGCCGACTTGAACTAGCTTGTCAATTATATTGATAGCATTGAACATGCTGATTGAGTCAGTGACTTGCCCCTCTGGGTAAAAGGGACTGCAAGTGCAAACCCTGTGGTGGACTGGTGGTAAGTGGTGACCCTAAGAGCTGAGTGAAACTGCGATCGGGGCAAGCAAAGCAAGGAAGCTCCCGAGCACGAATTCTCCGATTGGCTTCTGGACTGGGGCTGTCCATCTGTCCAACTAAATCTGCTGCTGCGGCGCGTCTCAGGTTGAGTTCGCGGCTTGGCGACTGTTAGGGCTAACTCGCTTTCATTCTATCATAGAACCGATGGTACCTGTCAGTTCTATGTCAATAGAGTCAATAGTGAGTGAGTACTGACATTCAACTCAACTTCAGAGCCATGCCATCCGACTACTCCGTACTCCGCAGCAGCAAGGGCCTCCGAGTCCACTGGACCCATGAGTAATTGAGTATGACCCATCCCATACCCACCCCCCCCATCCCGGCAAGGACCAGCTTTCGTGGCCTGTTCCCTGCACGTTCACCCTAAATGTTCTTATCCACTGGATCAGTCGTTAATCTATCCTCGCGCCTTTCCCCTTTCGTCCCATCCCTGACCGTTCTTCAGAGCCTGCATTCTTTAACTCCTCCCCTCGACCTAACTCGCCTCTTTCCCCGACCAACCCAACTCTTTTCATGTCCTGGTGACTTCGAGTAGTGATCCGGCCATCCCTACTCTCTTCAACTGACATTGACTGTCACCATGTACGACCCCGTGGCTCTGGATCTCAGCTACGTCAACCGATCTCTGCCTCGCCACTACGAGTCCGACGAAGAGGACGTCTCCGAAGCTGAAGGCCACTCCTCGCTCGACCACAAGCGCTCTGCAACCCTCGACTCACTCCTCAGCGTCAGCGACACCGAGCTGGACCCGGCAACAGACCGTCCAGCCTTCCCCCGACTCCTCTCCCTCCCATCAAGCAAGACATCACGCCCCGTGTCCATCGACACCGTCAAGCGCAGCAGCAGCGCAACCTTCGCAACGGAACCCTGCACCATCTTCGACCACGACGACGACGACGACATGATTATCGAACTCCCCTCGCCCGACTCCACCACCCCCAGCGCCCTCCACTCGCCTCTCCTCCTCCAGCCCTCAGTCTACGTCCCCTCAGAACCACTCACCTCCCCACGCAACTCCTTCAGCTCGACTTCTTCGTCCATCCACTCCGACGACGAAAGCGTCTTCGTCGCAGAACAGGTCACCTACGTCGAGCACGCAAGGCCTAATCTAATCTTAATCTCTCCAACCGAGTCCTCGCCCTCTTCCTCTCCACGCGAAACAAGCCTGGACCTCCCCTCCCCGACAGCATCAGACAGCTCAGGCTCCGTGTACTCCAACGACGGCGCCGCAAAGTCCCAGCCTCTTCTATCCGAAACACCCATGGCCATGGACCGCGGCCGCCCGCGATCCCAGTACCCAGCCCGACCCCTGCACACAAAGACCCAAGGCACAGGAAGTCTCAGCGCCCTCGACACCCTGCGCTGCGCCCCTCCCCAGGGTCGTGAATACGAGGCCATGAGCGCACCGCCCGTCGAAGTCCCGCGCGCGCTCTCCTTCCGCGCGCGCTCAATGTCCTTCTCGCGCCCCCAAACACCCGCCACAGAGCGAAGACGGCTGCACAAGGAGCCGCCGCGGCGCCCGCCCTCGGCCCAGAGCACGAGCACCGCGACCTTCTCGCTCTTCCCCACCCAGTCGCAGACCCAGACCCAGTCGCAGACCCAGACCCAGACCCAGTGGCAGTCTCACACCAGCTGCGCCAGCACCTACACCTACACCGACTCCTGCGCCTCCTCGACCTACTCCCTCCCCCTCTCTTCTTCCCAGCCGCCCTCCCGCACCGCCAGCCCGAGCCCCTACGCCTCGGCGTCTCCGGCTATGCGCTCGCGCTCGGGCTCGCTCTATAGTGTGTCCAGCATGTCTGCGGCGCAGGGGAAACGTGCCCCTGGCCCGCCGGTCTCCGGCTCCTATCGCGGCTCGATATCCATGGTCAAGTCAAGGTCCAGCACGATGCCGATGGGCGGAGGTGGGCACGGGTACTCGAGCAGCAGTCTGCGGGCGGAGCTGAACACAGGCCCACAGGGACAGGTGCAGGAGGAGAGCAAGAAGAGCAAGACCCACAGCCGCAAGAAGAGCATGAAACAGCTCAAGTCGTCGTCGAAGGAGAAGGAGGAGTCGGCGGCAAAGAGCTTTGTCGGGTTTATGCTCCGCGCGAAGAGGAAGTCCGGGATCAAACATAATGCTTAATTTCCCTGTTTCTCGTGTCTTTGTTTTCCCTATTTTTGGGCCTTCTGATTAACTCCGTTTCGGTGTTGGAGTCGGCGTGGCTGTACTTTAGCGTGTCCGTTTGTTTCATCTTGCTTGGGTTTCGGTGGATCCTGTCCTGATTTTATTTCTGATTTTGGGTTGACTCTTACTCTGTACTATTACTCCCATACTCACTATACTTACTGTCTATTGTCTACTGTCTACTACTGCTATGCAGACCGAGCTCTGCCAATGAAGCACATCTTCTGAATCTTCTCTTGCTCTCTCCAACCACTGTCGATCCCAAACGTGAAATAACAGGGGCACCCGAATACCTGAGACATCCGAAGCCTCCGAACCACGGAATCCATGCTTCGACTGTTTCTGGAAGCCTTCGCTTCGCCACGGACACGGCACGGCTGGGGTGTTTGAGGAACGCTGAATCGAAGATTCCAAATCGTGGAGACCCGGTGATCCTGGCTCTGAGAGTGAGATTAGGTTGCATTCGCCCCAGCGGTGTTTGAGATCTGGAGCAGGTAGACTATGCCGTCTACTGAGTCAGTCTCGGCTCACTGACTCGGGCGCTGTCTTCTGGATTCGAATTCTAGAAGGAGAATGTGGATCGACATCCCAGCCCGGGGCCCATGGACGCACCGGGGATCAGCGCCGATCTCCAGGCCCGGTGCAGTGGCAAGGTCAAGGCCAAGCGCACTGCGGTCGATCTATGCGGATCGTCTTGGGTCCTTCCCATGGTTCTGAGATCAATCCCATCCGGCCTGGGGAGGAAACCGATTTCTGCTCATGTGTCCCCGTCTCAACGACAAAATTCACGGTGCTGCGTTTGCACGCCTACGTCTAGGGATAGGGATACTACGGTGCCTCGACCGTCCGCTCACTCCATGGCCATGGCCGTAAGCCGGCCATCCCGATCGTCCGTGCATCAGGCGAAACACGCACTGGCTATGACGATACCACTCTTTTTTATCCATGCGGTGCGGGTCGGTGGTGGCGGCGAAGTTGCATACCAAAGGCAGCCCTAGGTTACGGACGAGGAGACCTCAGAAATGTCGTTGGAGCATACTGGGCTTTGGATAGGCTCTGTATCGTCGTGCTCAACATGGTAGAGCCTAGACGGGGTAGCGCTCTATCTACCACCAGCGACCGTTACGATGGCTGTGCACTTTACCCTACCTAATCTCGTCTCATCTGTTTCAGACAGCGGGACGGACGGGAAGATCGTGCCGTCCATGACCTACTCGCAGTGCACTGTGGGCTCCAGCTCAGCCTCCAGCGGATGTATCAGGCTATAGGTATCTGGGTACTGCGTCTCGGATGTGCTGGGGTACAAGTGGACATACTTCGCTGCCGGCAGGAGGTTAGCTTTAGCCAATTCATCGTTCCAGCCTGACGGCCCGTATCGAGCCCTAGGCTATGAAGTGTCCTGATACCGAGGTCGGAGACGGGATTTGTTCCATTCAGCTCTGGGCGTACTAGATGCCATGCCTGTAGATACTCCGTGGGGACCGGGCCACTAGACGTATGCAAGGAAGCCGTGCTATAATTATGTAGCCAGATAGACCGAAGACGACATTCCTTGACGTACCTGAGGCTGGGCATAAACGCAATGGGAAAGTTTCTCTTTGTTACTCGGTTCTATGGGCTGATCGGCCCTTATGGATGTGTCTTATCTGGACCCTGCCCGCCATTATGCAGTGTCATCGCGGGACATGGTCTGGTCTGTAGCTTCCCAAGTAGCGAAGCCAGCGTTGCATTGGGGCAGCGTTCTCTTGTCCCTTGTCCCTGGGCTCGCGCCTGGGAAAGGATTTCATGGAGAGGATTATTATTGTAGCATATTCTGCTAGGTCATAAAAGCTAATTGGCTATAACCGCCTACTCCAACAATTATTTAACGGGACTTATTTGCCGAGGGGGCTATAATATATAACTATAGATATTTACTATACTTTCCCTAGGCGGTTGCGGTGACGGGGATTAAAAATACCAAAAAAACTGTGGAGTTAGGGCTAATAAACACAAGGATATAATAGTATATATTTTTATTTATAAGCCTATGAGCTAAGTATATAGCACACTGACTACAGAAGTAGAAAGAGGCTTGATAAGGAGACATGAAATGCAGAGTAAGCCTCGAGGCTTGCATATTGTGCTTATTTCACACTCCTTTCTTAAACTGCATGCGCCCTATCCAGTGCTACCTAGGCACAATATCATGATCTATCCAGCTTATCAAAAGATGTGGTAGGATTTCTGCTTCGAAACAGAGCACAAGCACGGCAGGTAGTTGGGCACTATTAAACTCTCAGGGATAAGTTTTGCGGAACCCCCCAAGCTCCCCAAGCTGGCTTCGCTGTGTGAAGATCTTGAAGCAGGAAACGAACGTGGGAAGACCAAGACTGGTTTGATGAGGAGTGAGTCCCTAGGCATCCACACAACTACGCGAGGCTAGGTTCTACCTCCAGCCATTGCACAAACAGCGTAACTCTGTCTCTATGGTAAGTACCCTACCTAGGTAACATCCAATGGTCCCCAGTCTGGATTGAGGCTACACCAAGCCACTATGGTAGAAACACGATCCCCAGCCTACAGCGTCAAAGGAATCGGCATCCCCGCCCCAAACCTCCCCTCCGGATCCCACTGCTGCTTCAGCGCCACCAACCGCGGCAGATTATGCGCGCCATACCAGACCTCCGGCCCCTCATCCCCATACGCCTCATTCACATACGCATGGCGGTGCTCAAACCCCATCGTCTCCTGCACACGGTCCCTCAGCGGCCGGATGAACTCGTGCAGCTGCGCCTCGTACCGCGCGTCCTCGATGTAATTCACGAATACGCTGGCATCACGTCAGAACAAACCGCATCCCACCGGACTTTAGTTAGGTAGGTAGGGAAACTCACAGGTTAACCTTCGTATCGCGCCACGGATACACACCCCTCTCCTCCTGCGGAACCGCAAGAAGCGCCTCCTCCGAGTGCCGCTCCTGCATCCAAAGCCCATTAAACCACTCATTCTCCGCCGCGAACGCCGTCCACTGTCCCCAGATCTCAACGAGGGCGTCCACATCCGTGCGCGCCAGACCAGTACTCCACATATCGGCGCTCCAGCCGCGATCGCACATGATCGCACTCGGCTCGCCGTACGTATTCCACGTCGTATTCGCCCAGGATTCACGCGTCGGATGCAGCGCGCGCGCCTTGGCGATATGCGGCGCCGCGAAGGCCTCGTCGCCGTAGACCATGAGCCGGAGACTCATGGTAGGTGTCATGGAGGAGCGATTGAAGCCGCCGAGGATGCCCCAGAAGACGCCGTGCGTGAGGCTGTCGTCGACGGAGCGGATCAGCTCGAAGGCCGACGCGTTGTTCTCGGCCGGGATCGTGAAGTCCCCGTACAGGGACCAGCCGCTGTTGGTTTGCGGGAACATGCGGAATGTGGCGGAGACGAGGATGCCGAAGTTTGCGCCGGCGCCGCGGAGCGCCCAGAAGAGGGGCGCGTGGGAGGTTGGCGAGACGGTTAGGAGCTCGCCTGTTGCGGTGACGAGGCGCGCGGACATGAGCGTTTCGGCCAGGATCCCGCGCACGCCTTGCAGCGTGCCCAGCCCGCCCCCGATCATGGTGCCTAGGGTGCTGATGCATTTGTCTGTGCTGAGGGCTGATGAGGTGCCTTGTTAGCTTGCCCTGGGTTGGTATGGTGTTTTAGCTCGTGGGGGTTGGGACGTACGGAGTTCTCGTTGCACATCGTAGACGACGTTGTAGACCTGGTTGTTGGTGACGCCCGGGCCGATGGTGACGGTGTCGTTGGGATAGTCGAGGAAGATGTTCTTCAGCAGACTCAGGTCGATGTTCACTGCCCCTTTTACACTCTTATACCCGGGCTTGACACTGTGAGCGGACCCGGTGGCCAGGAAGGAGATGTTATGAGCGACGGCGGTCCGGACCTGTTTCAGCAAGATTAATTAGCTACCAGACCCCTTTTTATAGAAACGGGGTAGATGGAAGAGGCGTTAACGCACAGTATTCGCCACGTCCTGCTCCGTCGCGGGCTGGATGGCAGCCACGAACGACGGGTTCTGCAGGTTCGACCATCGCTCATTGACGCCCGGGTATCCGGTATCTCCCGTGGTGTAGATGTTGGCTTTCTCGGAGAGCACGGGGCGGAATAGGGCGTGGAAGTCGATTGAGGAGTCTCCAGCTGCGGCATTCACGACGGCTGGGGTGGCGAGCAGCGCCAGTGCAGGCAGGAGCTTGAATATAGACCGCATGGTGAGAATACAGTTGGCACAGCTCCAGTCAAAGGTGCGTTCACGGCTAAATAGCACACCTCCTCAACTTCACTGGCCCTTACCTCTAGGGTAGTGCCTGCCAGGCAATACGGTACGTAATGATCCATTGATGCTACCATAGTATCCCTGGCGCCTAGCAGATGCAGATGCAGATGCAGATGCATCCCTGCCAACTTATTAGGAAGCCCTGCCCAACTATCGAGTCCGTAGGCCCAAATATCCAGCAAGATCGCCAGTGCAGCCCTGTCCCAAGCCCACCAAGCAAGGCCCTTCCATCCAGCCGACCGAGTCCTCCGGCCTCGGAGTTCGCCGAGCTGGCAAACTCCGCGCTTACGCCCTTACAGTTTGCTCCGTAGGTAATGATACATGCACGCACCTGCAGCTTCACCTTACGTCGCGCATCCCAGTGGAGCGGAAGACCGGGGCAGCGTTCCAGACTGTCCGGGGCGCCTGCACGTACCGTCTACCCGAGTATCTAGGTCAGCAGACAACATCCCATGCATGCAGACTCGGTGTCGGTGTACGAGAATGGATGGATCGGATTCGTATCGCATCGCATTTGCATTCGGCACCAGTACTCCGTACGTCTCCTCGCTCTCCAGGCAAACATGCACACGCACATGCATGACAATCCCCTTCTTCTACGGCGACCTCGGAGGTAACCGGCAACCCTATGGTAGTGTTCGGAATGGGGATGGGGATGGGGAACCACGTAGCGCGAGCAGAGTCTACCCTACCCGCGAGGCCACTGTCCCCAAGCATGGTGAAGTTGAGGGTTCGCGGCCCTGGCCTTGCACTGCCTAGACGCATGGTCTGCGAGTCCTGGGCTCACGATGCTATCCACACATCCATTTACACACTCACGGGTCCACTGTCGTAGGAGTAAAGTATGGATCACCCTATCGTACCCTCCCTGCCGCTGGATTATCAATATCTAGATGTGTTTGACGTCGCCGGCGATACCTGGTGCCGTACTAGGCATGGGAGCCAAGCCCATCCACTGAAAAGGGCACAGAGAAACACCTTGGTATTGCGATTATGCTCCAGATATGGATTTATATACATTATTAGCAGGACATGGTCGATACAGGATAAATCAAAATACACCCACAATAAGCCCGAAAAGAAATGACTATCCATCCGTTCATGTACGTTACCTGGCCTCAACCCCATCAACATCAACATCAACCTCAACATCCCCCAACCTCACCCCCGGATCCCTCGCAAAGAACCGAACAAGCGCACACAACCGCTCCGCAATCCTCGCCGCCCTCTCGAGGCCCAAAACGCCGCGGTTCGCCGCAACCTGAACCTCCAGGCGATCGGCATGCGGCTCCGTAAACACCCACACCTCATCCTTGGGCTCGAACTGCGCGAACCGGCTCCACTGCACCTCGAGCTGGCCGGTCTCGCCCTCCAGCGGGAGCGTATAGCCGAGGTCGATGTTCTGGTGCTGCACGATGAAGCTGAGGGGTTCGGTATCTGCAGGCCAGGCGGTCGTGGCCGCTGTGTGGGCGCGGATGTCGCGCAGCTCGATGTGCTCGTGCGGCAGGGCGCGCGTGTACTGCGTCTGTGTGTGGTGGAGGAGGTCGTGGATTGTCCAGGCGCTTAGGGAGTGTGGGAGTGTCACGCGAAGGGGGATGAAGTTCAGGCAGCAGCCTAGCAGGGACTCGATGTGTGGGAGGGCGAGGTTGCGGCCGTTGACGGTGTGGCCGAAGACGACGTCGTGGGTGTTGAGGTGTCGGGACAGGAAGAAGGCGCTGGCGGCTTTGACGAGCGTGGCCATTGTGATGCCTGACGGGAGAGACGGGGGTGGGCTGATGGACTGGAAGGCCCAGTTGGTTTGCCCGTGGCGCAGGACTGCTCCTGCTCCGTGGGGTGTTGGTGTCGGGGTCGGTTCGGGCATGGTTGGTTCGACTTCCACTTCTAGCTCATCACCAAGGGCACGGGGAAATGGGTGAGCCATGACCGCTTGGTCGAGATATTCGCGCCAGAACTGGAGGGAAGTTTGCTTGGTCTTGTCTGGACCAGGCCCGGAAAGAATGTGGTAAGCGTAGTCCGCGAAATCGCGGGTCGGGGGCAGCTGTTTCTGATTGTAGCAGGCGGCCAGGTCAGCATAGAGACCGGGGATCGAGACACCGTCCCATTGAGCGTGGGAGATCTGGATGGTCAGGACGGTAAGGGAGCCGCTGGGGTGCGAGACAAGGGTCAGTCGCACTGGGGGCGCCCCTGCCATGACGTCGAGGGCCGGGCCCGAGCGAGACCAGAGCGTCTTGCAGAACTCGAGCGGATCGTCGTCTTCTGGGCACTGTTGCTCGCAGATCTGCACGTCCAGCGTCTTCTCAAGCACAGCTTGGAACGCACGGCCGTTGGCCTGGACGAAGCAGGTGCGGAGGATGCCGTGGCGAGCCAGCACGGCCTGACAGGCGCCGCGGAGACGAGCCCGGTCGAGGGATGAGCCCTTGATGGTAAAGTTGAACGAGTGGCAGGTCCCACGCTCGATGAAGAAATCTTGAGCCTGCGTGGTGGGAAGAAGGTCTTGCAGTGCACAGCTGGGGGGGATCTTGCCCGCGGCAGCCAACTGGGCGTGGACGTCTTGAGGGTTTACACCCAAAGCTAACGCTAAGGAGAACGGCGCGAAGGTCTCACTACCATCTGCAACTCTTGATGCGTTGGGCAGAGAGCTCTCACTTACCGAGGCCATGTCCGAGAGCGTGGGGTGCGCAAACATGTCCGCCACGCTCAGCGACATGCCAGCTGCTCGGGCAAGGGCAGCCGCCTTCATGGCATCGATGGAATGCCCCCCGCGGAGGAAGAAGCTATCGTCCCCGAAGACGCTGTCGAGTGGGACGTCCAGGACGTCTGCCCAGATTCGTGCGAGGGTGCGCTCTCCCGTACTGGACGGCGGTTTCCCAGAGCGGACACTGCTTTCTAGGGCACGGTACTGGAGCAGCGCATCCAGGGGCATAGAACCCGCCAGACGGCGCAGACGTGTCCGGTCCACCTTGCCAGAGTACGTGCGAAGCATATGCACCAGCGGCAAACACACCGTCGGTATCATATATCGCGGCAGAGTCTGGCGCAGCTTGACCTCGGCCGCAGCCACGCGCGCAGCAAACCCCTTGGTCGGCGGCCACAGCACATCATGCCGCGAGGTCACTGTAGCATCTTCATCCTGCTCTGCCATGTCGTGCACGTAGATAAATGCGAGAAGCTGCGGCTTTGTTGATCCTAATGGGTGGATGATTTCGGCCACCACATCGTCCGCGTACCCTTGTAGACTGCGCTGCACCTGCATCTCGACTTCTGCGAGTTCCAGGCGCTGGCCGCGCACTTTGACCTGACGATCCTTGCGCCCGAGGATAATAAGCGACCCGTCGTCATGAAGCCGGCCGAGATCTCCAGTCTTGTAGAGACGAATCCGCTTATCGGGTTGCTCGCATGACCGCAGCTGACGCAGCCACGCCGGCGCCTCGATAAATGCTCGCTCCATGGCCTCAGGATTATTGGCATATCCCCGGCCAACAATCGCTCCCTCGATCAAGACCTCCCCGACCGCTCCCTGAGGCACGAGTCGGCCGTGGTCTGTCGGATCAACGAGCCAAACCGCGCAGCCAACGGGGAATCCAACATTCCTCGGATCCAGCGCAGACATGGACGGCTGGACAAGCGATAGAGCAGAACACTCTGCTGGTCCGTAGCCGTTGCTCAGCTGCACATGGCCTGCCCAGGTCGCAATGTCCGTCTCGGCAACGGGCTCGCCGATCAGCATGATCTTCTCGATGCTCGGCAGGTCGGCCGGCTTGTACAGACGGGCGACGGATGGGACAAGCATGACGAAGTTGGCCTCGAGCTCACTGGCTGTCTTGCCGAAGCTGTTCTTGTTCTGCTCGTCTGTCAACACGCAGATGCAGCCGCCTGCTATCAGCGTGCTCAGCTGCTCCAGCACCGCAGCATCAAATGCATACGATGCGAACTGCGCCGTGCGCGTAGACCGACCCAGCCCGGTAGCTGCAATGTGAGCCTGCGCGGCAGTGGCATAAGACTCGTGCTCAATGACTAGGGTTTTTGGTTTCCCGGTTGAGCCGGAGGTAGACACCACGTAGACCGCACTGCTCGAGTGGACATGGGGCAGGGCGCTCTGCAGACTGGATGCCGACTGACCCTGGTCCCATGCGGAGCTATGGCCGTACCCGACGACGACGACATGCTTTGCCAGGCGCTGGCTGATGCGAGTGTGGTTGGGCGAGCTGATGACCACGCGGGCCTGCACGTCCTCGCAGACTTCCCGCTTGCGCGTGAATGGGTACGATGGGTCCAGGAGGAGGATTGCGCCGCCGGCCCGGAGAACCGCGAGCATTGCGACCGGTGTCCAGATGGTTTTGTCCATGGCGATGGGGATGGCCTCGTTGGGCTTGAGCGCGTACTGGGAGTAGAGATGGTGCGCCAGCGATGCGGAGAGGCTGTCGAGTTGCGCGTATGTGAGGGAGGCTACGGTGTCACAGACGGCCTGGGCTCGTGGGCGCTCGATGCAGTGCTTTTGAATAAGCTCGTGGACGCAAGAGGGTACGGCTGGAGGGAGGGTCTGGCTGTTGCCCCAGGGATTCTGCCTGTCGTCGTCACTGTATAGATCCAGCGCGGTGATGGAAGCGCTCTCATCCGCCGCGATGAGTGAACAGACGGCCTTTTCGAATGCTGCCAGCACGCTTGTGGCCTGCTGCTCGGATAGCATGCTCGTCTTGTAGCGCAGGCTGAGTGTCGCTGGATTGGTGTCCCGGTGGGCTGTAAGGGACACGACGAGATCATCCTGTAGGAAATCTTGTTAGCAAACCCTTGATAGCTACAAAATCCAGAAGAGACCTGGTACTCACTTCAGCCCCGTCCGTCTTCTGCACCGTCGTCAACTTCAGGACCCCGGCACTGGGCACTTCGTCGAGCGCAGTGTCAGCATGAACAGACGTATTAAAGAGCACCCCATTCCCGACTCCCGCCAGTTGATGTGCTTCGGACAGTGGCAGGCACTGATGCTGGATGTCCTCGAGGTACTGCTCCTGCAGACGACGAACCGTCTCAGACACCGTCGACCCTTCGTCCAACAAGACCCTGCACACCAGGGGATTCAATATCGCACCGACGGCATCCTGGATCCCATCGATGGGAAGGTCCCTGCCGGACTTGATGTAGCCAAAGCACACGCTGTCCGAGTGGGTGTAGACCCGGAGCACAAGCGCCCACGCCAGCGCGGCCAGGTTCCACGGCGTGACGTTGTGCTTGCAACAGAAGCTCGAGATGTCCTTCTTGTCGTCGACCAGGTCGCGAGAGAGATACCCCCATTCATTCTCGCCGCCTACTCCTACAAAACCTGCTCGATCCAACCGGAGTCGTGGAAACTCACACGGGTCGATTGCATGGAGCCGCTCCTTCCAGTGAGCCGTAGCGGCTTCGCCATCCTGGGTGTAGATGTGGGCAATGTACGCGCTATACAGCGGCTTTTCGACCAAGGGCAGCTGGTTCTCATATGCCAGGCACAGATCGCGCTCGATGATCCGCATCGTAGTACGGTCCATGATGGCGTGGCTGATATCCAGGCGGAGACGAATGGCACCGGCGTGTGCGCCGTTGGCATCCTTTTCGAGCCTGCACAGGTTGAACCGATACATCAGTTGCCCCGCTTGGTAATCATCGCGAGGCTCTGGTGCCGTCGTTTGCACAATCACATCGTCCAGCGGGATGCAGCCGGGTTTCAACACGACCTGCTCCATATACGCTTCTGGTCTGGGGCTGGCCACGAAGACGGTGCGTAGCGCGGCATGTCGTTCGATCACCAGCGCACAGGCATTGTATACTCGCTCTGGGTCCGGCAGTTTGTCGCTGGCTGCGATGGTGATTTCCCAGGTCACGCTGGCGTTGTAGTTGCCAGGGTTCTTAGCCTGCGCGATGAGCATCCCACGCTGGCTGGGCGAGCAGGGATAAATGTCTTCCACGTTCTTCAATGGGACTCCTACCGCTGGGAGGGTTGTCTCCAGGAGCTCTTGTAGTTGTTCATATGTAAAGTGAGCCAGCAGGGGAAAGTCGGATACCGTCCAGGCCTGAGCTGAGTGCACTGTGGCCGAGGCCTCGCGTGCTGCAGCCAGTTGGGACACAGCGGAATGGAGAGTCTGTTGACACAAATGCACCCACTCGGTGATAGCAGCCTGGTGGGAGTCTTTGACGGCGCTTGGATAAACAAACTGGAAACGAAGCTGGCCTCGCACGACCGACGCGAAGATCTCGAAAATGCCCAGCCGCCGGATTTCAGGACCAGATACCAGGGCTCCTTGCGTCTCATGGGAGTCGCTTATGAAAAGACTGTCGGCACGCTCGAGCTGCTGGAATTCGCCGGCGTAGTTGAAGACCACCTCCATGGGATGCGGGTGCTCGAAGTGCCGCCGGCCGGAGGGGTGCAGGTACCGTGAAGCAAAGTACGCCCAGCCCCTGCCAGGGATAGCCCGATAGGCGTGCTGGACGTATCGGACGACGTCGGCGAACGTTTTGTGGCTGTGCTGGCGCAGTTCAGGAACGACAACCGGCCATGCGGAGGTGAACCAGCCGACGGTCTGCTCGATGTCGATGCGGGGGCTCCATGGCTCTCGACCATGGCCTTCGGTGAATGTGAGAGGCGCAGACCGGGCTGGGAAGGCCTGCAAAAAGGAATGGAGGAGGGCGGCGTGAAGGAGCTCCGCAGGACGGGTGTTGAACGTGGCATTGGCTGCTTGCCCTAGTAGTCCCTGCGTGATTGGTTCGTCGAGCGAGAAGGTCTGCATCTGTGTAGACCCCATCTTGTTGACCTCGGCTGTCTCGAGCCAGTAGGGAGTTGGGTCTCGATGATACGTCTCCGGAAGCTCAGCGGGAAGGGCGACCTTTGGCGGCAGAGACCGTGCAGCATACTGGGCTTGACAAGCACACCATCTTTGGAAGGAGAGACCAGTGTGCTGAGGCAGGCTTCCTCCACGCAGCAGTGCATTAAGCTCAGCCAGCATGGTCCGCCATGAGACCAGATCGACGGCGAGATGGTGGATCGCCAGGAAGAGGTGCTGGGAGCGGTCTTCGCGGACATTGATCAGAGCAACGGATAGAAGAGGGCCATTTTCAAGGTCGATGGCCGCAATGCTACCAGGGAGAGCGTCTTGTATTCCAGCCAGCGTCTCAACCGTCTGGGCTTGACACCGGCATTCGGCAGCCTGCTGCTCGTTTCGGACCATCTGCATCCAGCGACCGTCGTCCGGCTGGCGAGCAAAGACAGCCCGTAGCATGGAGTGTCTAGACAACAGAGTCCGCACTGCTTCCTGCACTTGATCCAGCGGCACGGCTTCCTTGAGCCGCAGCAGGAATGTTTGCGTGAAGCGATTCAAGTCGGTCCCTGCAGGCTGCTGATCAAGGAACATCTGCTGGATGGGCGAGAGGGCAAACCAGACCTCAGTCTCGTCTTCGATATGCCTGTTGGCCCAGTCCATGGAAGGATCATGTTGGGTATGCGCCAGGATCTGTCCTATAGACTTGTGCCGCATGATCAAGTCCAGGGATACCGACAGGCCCTGGGTTCTTGCATGAGCCACGATCTGCATGGCCGTGATAGAGTCACCCCCGAGGTGATAGAAGTTATCCTCAACTCCAATGTCATCGACCGGGATATTCAGGACCTGCGCCCATATCGCCTGCATCTTGTGCTCTGCGTCGGTAGCCGGTGCTTTCTTGCTTGCTATTGTCTCTTCACCACGATACAAGGCCAACTGTTCTGGGGAGCAGTCTTGTGCTATGGCGCGCAGACGGCGACGGTTGAGCTTGCCAGTTGCACTCTGCGGTAGACTGCTGAGGGGCAGCACAATCTCAGGAACCATAAAAGCGGGCAATATCTCACGGAGGCGAGCAAGGACGGCGGAAACTTGCGCCCTGAATTGCGGCGATGGCACTGCCAGGATACTCTCATCAGACGTCCTGCTTGTCCTTGGACCATCAACAACGAAAGCAATGAGGGTTTGGGCCGGGGACGAGGTGGAACTGCGCGCGATGCTGGCCACCTCGACAGCGACACCACCATCTCGAGCTTCAGACCAGCATTCGGAGATCTTGTTCTCGACCTCTCCCAGCTCGATCCGCTGCCCTCGCAGCTTCACCTGCGCGTCCTGGCGGCCCACATACTGCAGGGATCCGTCAGGAGCGTACTGTACCAGATCGCCAGTTCTGTATATCTTCGAGAAGGCTCCATCCGGGCGGAACTTCTTCAGCCAGGACGGGGGAGAAGTTATGAACGCCGCGGCTGATTGTTTGGCGTTTCTGAGGTATCCACGGGCAACAGTAGGGCCTTCAATGAGCAGCTCGCCAACTGCACCGAGGGGAAGGAGGATGTCTGGGTCTTCGGGATGCACGACCCAGCAGGAGATGCCCTGGAGTGGGAACCCGATGTTGCGTGGATCGGAGTGCGGCGTGACATGAAGCTGGAGCGTGGTCGATACAGCTGCTTCAGAGGGACCGTACCCGTTTATCACACGGCAGTATGGGTTGTTGGCGGCCCAGGACGCTAGATCAGCGGATGATAACGGCTCTCCAACGCTGACAAGCGTTCTGGTGAATGTAGGGTTGCTGCACAGGAGATGGCGGGCAAGGGACGGGGTGAGATGCGCGTGGGTGAGGTTATACTCCCTGGCCGCCGAGGCGAGCTCGTTCTGGCGCTGGAAGTCTGAAGGTACGCATAGGCACGCACCAGCCATGAGTGTGCTTAGAATCTCCATGATACTTCCATCGAAGGAGTAGCTGGCAAACTGCAGGAGGCGGCATTCAAAATTGACGGAGGTTGCCTTATTCAGGCCAATTGCGCTACAGCAGAAGGAGTGGTGCTCGACGATGACTCCCTTGGGAGTACCGGTGGATCCAGAGGTGAAGACGACGTAGAGTGCAGACTGAGGTGTCGTCTGAGGCCCTATCGCCGGTTGGGGGATTGGGGAGACCTGACGATAGTATTGCTCGTTGATCACAACAGCAGAGAAAGCCAGCTCTCGGGCGAGGTGAAGCTGGCTGGCCGAGGTCAGAATAAACCTGGCACGAATCTGAGCGCAAATGTGCTTGAGTCGCTGCTGGGGCTGAGACGCATCGAGAAGAACAAAAGCACCGCCGGCCTTGACCACGCCCAGAATCGCCACCGTTGTCCAGCGGGACTTTTCCATGCAGATGGGCACGAGAGTCTCTGGGAAGACGCTGTGCTCTGCCCTCAGCTTAGCTGCTAGGCAGCTGGATAGACCGTCGAGCTCTGCATATGTGAACGCCCCATCCCAGGCGCAGACTGCTGTCCGGCCCGGTTGGGCGGCGCAGCGCCGCTCAATGATTTCATGCACGCATTCGTCGTGTGAGACCAAAGCGTGCTCTCTGAAGTTCCAATCGATCAAGGTCTGCGTATCCATCGGGCTGAGCAGTGGGACGTCTCGTATTGCTTGAGACGGATGGGCCAGAAGGAACTGAACGACCTGCTCAAAATGGCGCATTGTTCTCTCGACTTGTAAGTTCGAGATGGCTGCAGGGTCAAACTCAGTGGATACCTTGATATGGTTCGATGTGGTCAGGCTGCAGACGACGGAAAGAATGCAGCTGGCAAAGCCCCCTTTGATGGCAGGCGCGGCTTCGAGGGTCGTCGCGAGGGGGCGCTCTTCGTCGTCCCACGACGGCTGAACCACGAGGTGACTTTGATAGTTGCACGCATCGGCAGCCGAGTCACTCAGCCTGCGGATGTTCTGCAGCCCAAACTGCTCAAAGGGAATCATCTCGCTGGATTGAGCCTGTACGGATGAGAGTGCACCGGCCACTGTCTGGGACGGGTCTAGACGGACTCGGAAAGGGACAGTGGCCACACCAGGAGCAGTCATCTTGTCTATGCCTTCGACTGGTGCGGCGCGCCCGGAGACGGTGAGACCGAACACGACATCATTGGAGCACGTATAGTGGCTGATGACGAGGGCCCATGCGAGGCGCAGGATCGTGGTCATGGTGTGTTTACTCGCCGTGGTATCTTTTGGATATTGGATTGATAGGTGAAACTCGTCAGACGGGGCAGGGGCGTAGCCTGGGGATGGCAGTGCAGGGAAGACTTCGGCCTGGAGGTCGTCCAAGGTGTCTTTCCAGTACTTCCTGATGGCGTCGCTGCCGACTTGCTGCTGCAGATATCGGACGAAAGGGGTCATCGGCATAGATGGCAGTGCTTCCCAGGCGTATGCCCTCTCGACGAGCTCCATTACCCGGCTAGAGGCCCAGCGATCGCAGGCAGCGTGGTGCATCATGACTATGAAGTACGTCGGGGCAGCACCGTTCTCAATCGTTGGTGCATCTTGGGGCACTGCACCTGTAAGAAAGGTAGCGTGGGTAAGTCGCTGTCCAAGGAGGACAAGTGGCGCCGTCTGACGCTCCTCGACGTAGGCATTCCAGTCTCGGTGCTCACTGATAGAGTCATCGTCGCAGTCTTTGATGACAGCCTGGTACAGCTTCCCATCAGGGGCGGAAACGATCCTCGTCCGTAGAATTGGACACGCCCGCACCACGCTCGCCCATGCTCGAGCCCAAGCGCTGGCTTGTACATGCGGGTTAAGCCTGTAGACAAAGCGTGCCACATACGCCCCAGGTCTGGCAGCAGACAGCGCCATCATGCCCTCTTGGAGCGGCGAGCACGGATAAACATCCTCGATCTGGCCCTCTTGCACTTGGCAAGCAGCCACTGCCGTGGATATCAGCGTGGCTTTGATTGCCGGATCAAGGAGTGAGTACGGTTCTGGGACTGGTTGCTCGTCTGAAACACGGCCATTTCTCGCGGGAGCGTCGCCCGGGGGATCTGGGATGGTCGCTGCCAGATCACTCAGCTGGGGATGCGCAAACAGATCTTTCACCGTCAGCCGAACGCCCACAGCGCGTGCCAGCCCGACAATCCGCATCGCCTTGACCGAGTCACCTCCCAGCGCAAAGAAGTCGTGGTCCATGGCCACATGGTCTGCACGGAGGCCGAGGGCGTCTGCAACGAGCCCGCGGATTAGACGCTCCTTCTTCCCTTCTGGCGCCACGACAAACACCCCATTTCCCAGAGTGGGCGCAGTCCCAGCCAGTTCATGCAGCTCTTGGTTTCGCAGTTTGCCAGCTTCCTCGCGGAGAGTGCGTCGGTCGACCTTCCGGCTGACGGTCAGCGGCAAGTCCTGGATCTGGACGAAGACGGAAGGAAGCATCGCGTCTGGAAGCTCCTGCTTCATCTTGTCTTTGATCTTCTTTGCAGCTGCAACAAAGTCGTCGTCGGCTCTGACAAACAGCTGTCCATGTCCGTTGACCAGAGCCTTCGTGCCATTGGCATGTCCGTTGAACGTACCATTCTCAGTACGCCGAACCGGCACAAATGCCACTAAAACGGCATCCCCATCTCCATCAGCCGGGATAATCGCTTCAAGAACTGCTTTCTGGAACCTCGGATCTGCCTGCGTGATATAATACTCGGGCTCGCCCAGATTCACCCGCTGCCCTCTGATCTTGACCTGCAGATCCCGCCGACTGACGTAGCGAAGCAGCCCGTCCGAGCCATAGTAGACCAGATCGCCGGTTCGATAGAAGGGCCCGTCCTCAATACCGAAGCCTAGCTTCTCGCTCCAGCCGGTGCTTGCGAGGAACTTCTCCGCGGTCGCGTTAGGTTTGTTTAGGTACCCCCTGGCCAGACTGGGTCCCTGCACGACCAATTCCGCAACCGCACCAATGGCCGCCAGTTTAAGCGGATCGTTGGGCTGAACAAGCCAGGCGCGCGCGTTGGCAGGGGCACCGATGAGGTTCGCATCTTCAATTGATTGAATCTGCGGAGACACGCAGCAGACCCCGGCCCACTCGGTGAAGCCAAAGCCCTGGTGCAAGCTCACCCGGGATGTCCATTGCGATATCTGTGCTCGCTTGAGTGGCTCTCCGGCGACTATGATGCGTCGCAGGCTTGGGACACTGTCGGGATGGAGTGTTGCAAGGACAGTTGGCGTGGTGAACGCCCAGTTGATCTTCAGCGATTCAATTGCGTCGGCGAGGGAGTCGACACGCTGTGAGTCCGAGGGCATGCAAATGCACCCACCGGCAGAAAGGGTGCACCAGATCTCGATGAGAGAGACGCCGAAGCTGAACGAGGCGAATTGCAGCGCGCGGCTTGACGAGTTCAGATGCAGGGCGTCACAGTGCGTAGACACACTGGATAAAGCTGCATGGTCGACAACGCACCCCTTGGGCTCGCCGGTGCTGCCGGAGGTGAAGAAGCAGTACGCCGGGACAGCAGGGGTATGTGGCCATGGATGCCACGGGGTCCAGGCGGGCTGAAAGCCCTGTGGATCAGGCATGAGGGACACGGTGTTTGCGGAAATGGTCAGGGTGGGCACTGCCAGTTCATCGAGGACGGCCCTTGTTCTCTGCGAGACCAATGCGACCGGAGGGAGGCCCAACTGGCCGACAATCGACTTCAGACGTGCCATGGGCTGCGAGGCATCGAGGGTGACGAATGCGGCCCCGGCCTTGTTGATGGCGAGCATGGCCACGATTGCCCATGCGGATTTGTTGAAACAGACTGGGATGAACTTGCCCGGCTGCACCCCATATCGTTCCAGATGAGCGGCCACCCGCGAGGACGCTGCATCCAGCTCGGCGTAGGTGAAGCTATCATCGGGGCCTTCCACTGCGAGTTGGCTCGGCGAGGCCTGTGCAATGCGGTGGATCACTTGGTGCATGGTTGGAAAGTCTGGCTGCGTCAGGGCACTGGCAGTCCACTGCTCAAGCTGCGCAAGCTGCAGACGGTTATCTCGTCGGTGCCCCGGCGCCAGGTTGGTGTTCATGGTACTCAATGAATCAGCCAGAAACAAGGCCAGATGGCTCGCTTGCCCGTGTGAGATCAAAGTCTCTCTATATACAAGAAGAAGTTTCCGCGTGGCCGGCAGGTAAACCAACACAATGTCACAATCCTGTTCATCATCACTGTCTGTCTGGCTGCCGAGAAGCTGCTGTGCCAATTGCTCTTGACTCGGCCTCGCATCCCCGTTCGCACTTGCGTCCTGATAAACGACAATTGCTGTGTTGAACTGGGAGTACTGGAACGGGCTGACATTGCTAACAGACCATTGGTCATCGGCTCTGATGTTTGGACAAGAATATAGTTTCATGTCGCATTTTCGAAGGCGAGTGCACGACGACGTGAGGTGGTCGTGTACCCCAAACAGCACGGCCTCGGGCTCTGCGTACTCGCAAAGAGCAGAGTGCCAGACTGCAGCAAGAGTAGACACAACATCATCTGCTGGGTCTGCTGAAGACGATTTCGAGGAGGCGGCCCTAGGGAATGGAACTGCTAATATGTTGCAGGATCTGTCCGCACAACGCTTTGCGGATACACTGTCAGTGCGGAAGGGAAACAAGCATTCCAGCCGTTTGCCTGCTGAAGAAGCCGACTCGGTTTGCATATCGACGAGGAGAGAAGAAGCGATAGGCTAAAGGCGTTGTACGTGTGTTCTTGCAGATGACTGGGGCTGGGGACTTGGAGTCGTGCGGAACACATGTACACATCCAGCACTGGGATATTAAAGGGATATGGTACTAATGACGGCATCACCAGTCCTGGGCATAGTGGAGCTTGCCCTGCTGAGATACAATATGTTTCCCATGGCCATGTCTATTGACTTCCAAGGACTTGGTGTGACCATGGCCAGGCGCCTGATCGAGTGGTGCCTGGATGGCTCCAACTTCCAAGGCCATGGACTCCGCTCTCTGCCAGTGCAGTTCCAAATGCAAGGAGAGATGATCACCTTGCAAGCAGGGTTCCTACGGCTGGAGCCTACCCTCGACCCAACATTTGTCACCAAGGGACTGATGCCATCTTTCAGGTGGCAACCTCGAGTATGGTATCTGGAACATGGATCGGCCTGGCCATTTCGGACCTTGCATCAACCGCATTGTTTGGGCAATACCGATGTGTCAGATATCCGGTACCTAGGTATGCAGTTCGGAGCCTCGGAGGCTGGATGATTACAAGATCGACGCCCCTTACGCGCCCGGGCTATTCGGAAATGGCGTTTATATTCGCGGATTGGATGAGCGAATGGAGTTACATAATGGCCATCAGGTTCAAACGGTGAAGTTCTGACCCTGCCATAGCTCAGCTCACCTAATATCTCTGTTCCGACCTGCATATCCCACCGGCGCAGATGAATTGACCGCAGATACTCCGACTCCGTTGGCCCTTGCCCGTTACGAGATAAATCCGCTGTTTGCAGGCCTGCCCTCACCTACCATCCACCGCCAGCTCACTTGCACTGCATTCGCATTCTTCAGCTTCCTCAATAATGGCGGCCCTCATCCTTGCCGTGCTCTCCCTGAGCACCCTGGGTACAGCCCTCCGCTACGGCACCGAAGCCCCCGCCAACGCCCCCGCAACCGCCTACACCGTGGCCCTCCTGACCTCCGCCGAAACAAACCCGGACGCCGCCAACTTCGCCCGCTGCGGCGGCGTTCTAGTCTCCGCCCGCTCAGTCCTGACCAGCGCCCGCTGCATTGAGAACTCGACCGCCGAAGCCCTGAGCATCCGCGCCGGCAGTCGCGACCGCACGGCCGGCGGCGCCGTCGTCCCCGTCTCTGAGATCACCGTACACCCCCAGTACGACAGTTCAACCTGGGACTACGACATTGCCGTCCTAACGCTGCAAGACGACGCCGCGGTGCGCGTGGGACACGCCACACCCGCAATTATCGGCTCGTACTCGTCCCTGCTTGCCGATCCGACCATCACCGAGGGCCCAGGTGCAGGCCCGGTGTCCAGCACAGGCGCCCTGTACGGCTGGGGCCTGTACAACTACAGCGACACAGCGTTCCCGTCAAACCTGCTTACGCTCCCTGGTGTGATCTTCGTTCGCCACGACCTCTGCGCCGACATCTGGCACTATATCCGGAACATCACGGATCGCATGATCTGCGATTATCCTGGGAATGAGCGGGCCAGTTGGGAGGGAGATCGGGGTGGGCCGCTGGTGGATGAGCGTACGGGGAAGGTGCTGGGGATCATGAGCTTTAGCATTCTCGAGACGGATCTGCACCAGGTTGTGCCGGAGGTGAGCACGAGTTTGGAGGCTGTGAGGGGGTGGATTGAGGGGGTTGTGATGTGGGATTAGAAGGAGCCTACAGTAGTGGCTCTGGTGGTGATCGGTGTGGAGAGTTTCTGGCATTCTAGGGGTCCCTTGATGCAATGTGTGTATTGCGCAGTCAAGATCAGGTAGACTGCAAGGCATCAGATTTATTGATACCGACGTGTAAATCCAACACAATGGAGCCGTTGAGCTGCACCGCCTGAAACAATGAATTTTCATATCAGAACTCCCGCCGATTATCGAATCATGTCCTACGCAGGCTGTAGATCAGCTCTAGAGCAATATATCTCCGAGGTGGCGGCGGCATTCAGGTCATCACGCAAGAATCAGCAACTCGATCTGCCTCTTGGGAAGGTTCGTCAGAGACTCAGAGACTCGATGAGACTCGATCGACGGGGAAAGAAAAAGAAAAGTGAAACCCAAAAGCAAGGCGCAGGGCGGGAAGCTAGGGGAGATGAAGCTGGAGATCAGGGCCAAGTGCCAATGGCACCGACGGTAGTATGGCATTGGCGGTATCCCTGCCCATCCGCAGCATCCGGAGCATCTCTACAGTTCCTCAGGCCAGGCCAGGGTCCACTCCGTATACCAGAATTGCAATTCGAACCGGTCCAACCTTGGCTTACCGCAGATCTGCGGGCCTTGCCGTCAAGTGCGGTGTTACGTAGTACGGTGAGACAGGTCCGGACAAATGGGAGGGCGCCGGATTGGCAGGTGCGAGCTGTGGACGCCAGGGATGGATCATCGGAATGCATGATGCCGTTTGTGCCAGATCAAGCTATTTCGTCTTCAACTGCGGGCCGGGGGCTTCATGCAGGCGCTGGTTCAACAGGCCGATATCGGGCGCGTCGGCGGGTCTATCCCTGGCGTATGCAGTGGGACGTAAGGTCAGGTCTATCCCTCGCGTATGGTACCTATGCATGCTACGTACCTAAGGCTGGGGATGGATGCTGCCCACCGCCATTTCCCCCTTGCAAGGTCGCTTGAGATTGAGATTGAGATTGAGATTGAGATTGAGATTTGCGGCAGGACAACAGGAATCCTGGATGAGATACCGCCTAGCGAAGGCGAAAGCGGGCTATCAGAAGATTGAACACCTCTATACCACTGGCAGCCAGGTCTCATTTCGACATCAACCAAAACACCTAGCCATGGCCATGGCCGACACAACCCCCACCCCCACCCCTACCACAACCCCTACCCCGCTGGTCATCGTCGTCGGTCTGGGCCTCGCAGGCCTAACGACCGCAATCGAATGCCACCGCAGGGGCATCAACGTGCTCGTGCTGGAGAAGGTCACTGAGCTCAAACACGATGGTACGCCTCCATTCCGTCATACATACCTGCCATAGACACCATACCTAAGTACCATAGCTGATACACAGCCAACCCCCCAGCCGGCGACGGCATCTTCATGCCCCCCAACGCCGCCCGCGTAATCTCGCGCTGGGACACCCAAGTCCAGACCGAGATCGCAGCGAACAAAAACGACTCCACGCACGCCGACTTCTTCGACGACGCCGACGCCTTCATCGTCCGCAACGAGGTCCCTGGCAAGGGCCGCGGCTTTCTCACGAACCGCGGCAAACTGGTGCTCATCCTCTACGCGTACGCCCTGCGCCTGGGCATCCAAATCCGCCTGGGGACTCGCGTTGCGGAGTACTGGGAGGACGAAGCTAGCCAACACGCAGGTGTTCTTCTGGACACAGGCGAGCGCGTAAGCGGCGACTGCGTGATCTGCGCGGACGGCGTGCACGGGAAGGCGCGGGCGTATGTGACGGGCTCGACCACCACCCGTGGCGCTGAGACGAACCTCGGCTTCGCGACGTTCCGCGCGCATCTACGCACCGACACGCCCTCGTTCATCGCAGACCCAGAAGCGCAGTGGATCGTGCGGGACTCAGAAACCCAAGACCGCACGTACATGTGGTTCGGGGCCGGCGTGAACCTGTCCATGATGACGCTCAAGCACGGGCGCGAGATCGTGTGGATGACAACACACCGGGACACCTACGCCGCAACGGAAACGGAGGCCTGGGCCGGCGGGCCCGCCTCGCACGCGCATCTCGCCGACGTCTTCGACTGCATCAGCCACTGGCCCGGCCGGGCGCGCATCGAGTCGATCGTGCGGCATACCGATCCCGCCAAGCTCGTGAACCACCCTCTTGTGTACCGCGCGCCGCTGAAAACGTGGCGCTCGGGTGGTGGGCGCGTGATGCTGATCGGGGACGCGGCGCACCCGTATTACCCTGTTGTTGGGCAGGGCGGGGCGCAGGGGGTTGAGGACGGGGCGGTTGTTGCGGTTGCGCTGGCGCGGGCGGGGAGGGATGTTAGGCTTGCGCTGGAGGTTGCGGAGCGGATCAGGTATCCGCGGGCCAGTGTGATTCAGCTGGGGAGCAGGGAGTTCCAGGCTAGTGTGCTGGAGCCGGACTGGGAGGCTGTGAGGAGGGATCCGGGGATGTTTCGGCTGCCGAATCCGGAGTGGATCTTTGAGCATGATTGTGTGGCGTTTGCGGAGGCGGAGTATGAGGCTGTTGTTGAGTGTGCGCGTGAGGGGGTGCAGTATGTGCCAAAGAATATTCCGGATGATGGCGTTTATCGTGTTGAGGATACGTATGGGGGGGAGAGGTAGGGCTGCATGCCCTAGTCCAGTCGCCAGCGAGCTTGTTATACGATCCATTGCTACTGGCATGTCCAAACAAGATATTCCCGTACGAAACACAGAAGTCATTATTAACTATGCCTGAAATAAAGAGAACTGCCACTCAACTACCTACCCTGTTGAGGACATCCTTGGTTCCCAACAGTCCCAACCTACCTTCACGGAACCTCAGAAAGCAACGCCTTCGGCATCTCCCCCAAAACACCCAACATCTCCGCCAACCTGCCCACCAAATCCTCCGCAACCCCCTGAGCAACCCTAACCTCGGGCCCCAAAACAACAACACGGACCTCCTCCCCCGGAACCAACTGCACATAAACATCCTCCAAGCGCCCATGAAACACCCAGCGATGTCCACACTCGCGATCCCCCATCTCAACAGCCGGAATCGGCGCCGCACTCTCCACAACAAGAACATGGTTAAACCGCTCCGGTTGCGGCGCGTCCCACGCCCCGAACGCCGCGACGTCGCGCAGCTCGCACGTCTCGTACGGGACGCGGCGCACGTACTGCTCCTGCGCGTGGGCCAGGAGGTCCAGGACCGTTGCGGTGGGGTCCTGCGGGACCACAATCCGCATGGGCGTTTCGGCGCCCGTGCAGCCTGTGACGGTCTCGGGCGCGATCTCGGCGGCGATGGACGAGGACGAGGACGAGGAAAACGCGCCCATGCTCATGCTCATGCGGCCCTCGACGAACTCGCCGAACACCAGGTCCGTCTCCCCTGTGTGTCGCGAGAGCACGAGCGCCCAGGCCGCGCGGAACATCGTGGCGAGGGTTATGCCTGCCGGTGGTGTGAGGGCGGAACCGGAGCGGGTGCGGACGGGTTTCATGGCCACGACCATCGCTGTGCTCTCCTTGTCTACTGGGGCCGAGGGGTCTGTGAGTCTTGGGGTGGTGAGCTGCGCGCCGGCGAGATACTGCTTCCAGAAGGAGAAATGGGCTGGCGAGCGGTTGTGCGCGAGGCGCCACTGCATGTATGTGTTGAAGGGGGAATGCTCTGGCTCGTGCTCGTGCTGGCATAGTGTGTTCTTTTGGGTCTGGTCGTTGTACGCGGCCATCAGGTCGGTGAAGATGGCGGTTAGGGTCATGGCGTCGAACTGCGCGTGGGTTGTGCGGATGATCAGGGCGCTGTCGGTGTTGTCGGGCGTGCTGGTGCTGGCGCGGATGATGCGGAACCACCGCTGGCCTGTGAGGATGGGCTCGGCGTCCTGGGGGGAGTATGCGGTCGCATAGTCGTCGGGGGATTGATTGGCGCAGTAGTGGATTGGGATTTTTGTCTGTGCCTGACGCAGGAAGGCTTGGTAGACGGTGCCCTCGTGCAGGACGTAGACCGACCGCAGCGCCATGTGGCTCTGCTGCACCTTGGCCCAGGCCTCTTCTAGCAGTGAGTGATCTAGCCCGGCCACGTTGACGACAATGTGCATGCATTTGAGCTGCGCGGACTTCTGCTGGAAGGCTGTGGTGGGAATCCAGCCGCCCTCCAGCTCATCCAGCTCAAGCTGCGTCTTCCGGAGCAGCTCACTCGTAACCTCGCTGTCCAGCGTAAAGGGCTCAACGCTTACAACTTCCCCCGTGGCGTCGTCGGCAAGGTGTCGAGCCAGAGACCGCACAGTCGGATGCCTGAAGACCGCGGCCGACGAAAGGGCGTTGAACCCGAGCTTCCGCGCGCGCGCAGCAAGGTGCATCGCGTCGAGGGAGCTCCCACCAAGACTGAAGAAGTTGTCCTCAACCCCGATCTGGTCAACTGCAATCTTAAGGCACGACGCCCACTGGGCACGCAGCGTGGTCTCCAGCTCAGTGGAGGGCTGGTCCCGCCGTGCGTCGAGCGTGCTGCTGTACGCCCTTCTCTCGTCGGACGAGAGCGCGCCCGCCGCGTCCCTGAGTGAGCGCCGGTCTGTCTTCCCCGACGGCAGCATAGGCACATGCGATACAAGCAGGATGTCCGAGGGGACCATGTACGAAGGCAGGACATCGCGCAGCCCGGCAAGCGCAGCCTGGGCTGCGCCCTGAAACGCCGCGTCTGGCGTCTGGAATAACGTACACGAAAAGGAAGATGCATACGGCGTCGGGCACACAAACGCCAGCAGCATCGGACTCCCCGCCTGCATCTCCACCAGCTCAACAACAACAGCCTGCGGCATCGGGAAAAACGCGCGCAGCCTCGCCTCGATCTCCCCCGGCTCCAGCCGCTGCCCGTGCAGCTTCACCTGCGTGTCCTTGCGGCCCAGGAAAACCAGCGACCCATCCGCCTCGTACCGCACCAAGTCGCCGGTCTTGTATAGCGCGCCGAACCCCTCGCATCCAAGCGCGGAGACCCACGCCGGCGGCGCAATGAACGAGCCGGCGCTCTTCTCGACCGGCCCAAAGTACCCGCGCGCCACGGTATGGCCCTGGATAACCAGCTCGCCGGTCTCGCCTACGCCCCGGAGACGCGCGCAGTCGTCGGGATCAACAACCCACGGCAGCACGCCGAGCGAGGATCCGATATTCGCGGGACAGGCCTCGCTCTTCGCGCCGTTCATGATCGTAATGCACCCCGCCTCCGCGGGCGAATACCCATCGTACAGGGCAACGTGCGGCGCGAACCGGCGGATGTCGTCGGGTGTGACGGGCTCGCCGCATAGCATCAGGGTCTTGAGGAGGGGCAGGGTCTCTGGCTCCAGCAGGCGGCTGACGGAGGGCGTCATTGTCGCGGCGGAGACGAGATACTTGCGCAGTGCGCCGTTGAGGTCGTTCTTGCGCTCGGCGTCGGAGGGGATGCAGAGGCAGGCGCCGAAGACGAAGGGGAGGAGGTGCTCGAAGTTGGCGAGGTCGAAGGAGTTGGATGAGAATTGCAGGGTTCGGGAGTTGGGTGTCAGGTTGAGCGCTTTGCCGAAGGGGAGGGCGCATGTTAGGAGGGCGCGGTGCTCCATGAGGAATCCCTTGGGTTTTCCGGTTGAGCCGGAGGTGAAGACGCTGTAGAGCGCGTTGTTGGGGCGGGGGATGTCTCTGTGTTTGTGTTCGCTGGCTGGCTGGGGAGGCATACGAGGTAACGGTGCATTGAGCACGTACTGGCGCGGAGTGAGGGCCGCGGCCCTGCTGGCTGTTGATTTCGATGAGATGGTCAGGTACGCGCCCGAGTCGTCGATGATATCCTGCAGCCGGGCGATGGGGAGATCGGGGTCGCAGAGGAGGATGGCGCCGCCGGCTTTGATGACGGCGAAAAGAGCAACGATGATGAGCTTCGACTTCTCGAAGAGCAGCGCGACGACGACTTCGGTGGTGACGCCTTGCCGGTGGAGTTCGTCGGCTAGGGCGTCGGACTGCTCGTCCAGCTCGCGGTAGGTGTAGCTCCCATCGTGGGCGGCGACGGCTGGTGCGTCCGGGCGCTGGAGGACATGCTCTTTGAAGACGTCGTTGAGAGTGCGTTCGATGGGGGAGCGAGTGGCGTTTGTCCAGGTTGTCGATGGGATGTACCGCAGGGCAGCGTCGTTGGGGGACGGGGAAGACATGTTGCTGAACGAGGAATGACTGGAACTAGTAGTACGTGCCTACTTCTGTACTTGCCCGGTTTTCTCAAGAGTAGTCAAGGCCTAAGGTGGTACTACGGTCCCAGTCCGGTCTCGGATGTGTCTGCCATCCTGCGCTCATGCATTACCATGAACACCCTTGCTGTCTAGATGCAGTTGCCATCCTGCAGGCATGATCGACATCCCCGGAGCGTCCGGATGGGATCTGGATTCTGTAATCTTGGCCTCCATGCAGCACCATGCAACATTATGCAGCACCCTGCCAGCGCAACCCAAGACATGCCATCCCTGCCGGGGTGCGGAGTATCTTTGCCCTTGCGTGCAAAGCAACATCCATGCACCACCCTGTCACCAGGACCAGCCATCCCCGCCAGGACGCGGAGTAACTTGTCCGAATGTCTTTCCAAGTGCTCCAAGCTGTCAGCTCCCTGGGAAAGACTGACGTGTTCAAGTAGCCCGATCCCAGGATCCGTTGCCTGACAATCCCATCCACCGTCTCCATTCGCCTTCAGACTTCAGGACCCTGTTCAAAGAAACCTGCACGCCATGCTGCGCGAACCCCCCACAAACACCACCGTCATCATCGTCGGCCTCGGCATCGCCGGCCTCTGCGCCGCAATCGAGTGCCACCGACAAGGCCACACCGTGATCGGGCTGGAGAAGAAGCCCAACACGCACCAGCCCGGTACGCTGCACCAAGCCACCCGCACCTTGCCATCCCGCTAACCACCCGCGGTACCAGGAGACATCATCGGCCTGGGCACCAACGGGCTGAACGTGCTCTCGCGCTGGGCCACGGCCGATGGCACCTCGATCGTCGCGCGTCTCGCGGCGATGGGCAGCCAGCTCGAGTACGTGGAGGTGTTCAGCCACGAGGGCGAACGCAAGTATAAGATCCCGTTTGGCAAGGACGATCCCGCGCAGGGCCTGTTTCTGCGCCGGTCGGATCTTGTCAGCGTGCTGCATGAGCTTGCTGCGGACGAGCTGGGGCTTGATCTGCGGTTTGGCGTGCGGGTTGATGAGTATTGGGAAGATGGGGAAGCGGCGGGGGTAGTTTTAGATGATGGGACGAAGATCGTCGGGCACTGTGTGGTTGCTGCGGATGGTCTGTATAGCAAGGCGCGTCCGGTCTTCACGGGTGAGGAGGTCTCGCTTGACGCGGCGGCTCTGGTGCACACTGGCGGTGCGATCTTTCGATCCAACTTTGATAGCGGCGTGTTGGCGGGCGATCCGGACGCGCAGTGGCTGTTGGAGGGCACGAAGGACCATGACCGGCATCAGATGTACTTTGGGCGAGATGCGACGATCCTCATGGGGACGATCGGCCGGGGGAAGTACGTGTGGTGGAACTGCCCGCATCGAGTAAGATCGAGCAAAATACTGGCTCTGGGATATGCCGTCTGGCTGTAAGCTAACATTGGACTTAAGGACCGCACAAACGAGACGGCGAACTGGGTCGAAGCCGCTTCGATCGACCCCGTTCTTGGACTCATCCAGGAGTGGCCCATTGCGAAACAGCTGGCAGCGGTGATCTCCAAGACGCCCCAGGCCAAATGCTTCAACCATGCTTTGGTGACCAGAGAGCCGCTCAAGACGTGGGTGTCCAGGCAGGGAGGGATGATTCTGATCGGGGACGCAGCGCATCCATTCCTGCCCCATACCGGCCAGGGCGCGAACCAGTCGATCGAAGATGCGGCAACCGTAGCCCTATGTCTTCGACTTTCCCGGCGAGAACAGCAAGGCGATGGGGTGAGACTGGCTCTACGTGTGGTCGAGAAACTAAGGTACGCTGCTCACATCAAGCTGACCCCAGGCTGCATGGAACTAACAATAGCAGGCACAAGCGCGTGTCGGTGATCCAGCAAGGGTCCCTCGAGGCGCAGGAAGTCACCCTTGCAGCCGATCTGGCGGACAACTCATCCGGCGACCGCTTCAACGCCATCTCTCGGCCTGCATGGGTTCACTGCTACGATTGTATCTCCCATACAGGTGACGAGTTCGAGCGTGCGGCAGCTGCAGTGAAACATGGACTGGAGTACATCCCTACCAACGTCCCTGTGGACGGCAAGTTCCATGCACAGGACGACTACAACAGCATGCGTGCAGAATGAGTTGGACTTGGCTGGCAATGCAGCAGCCATGTACGTCAGAGTACCGGTGTAGCAAATGCACCTGTTGGATACATCTAGACCTCACCCGCCTTGATGCGTACCATCCCATAGCTGTCTGCCCCTACCTAGCCCATCATGACCTCCCTCCGCAGCCTGACCCGGGCGTCCACCCTGCCGTTCACCTCCTTTCGTTTCTCTCCTCTAGCATACCTCTACAGACCTCACAGCACATCCTCTGCAGCCCCTCAATGCCCTCCTGATGCCAGCCAACCATCCAACCCCCTTCCCAAGTCCTCCAGCCTCAACATCAACACCCACAAACAAAACCCCTCCTTCTACGCCGCCATCTCCCACATCCTCACCCTCCGCCAGAAGTACATCCGCGACCGAGCCCTCTTCATCGAAGGCAAAACCCTCGCGCCCCTCCTCCTCCAACTCGGCGCCAACCCAACAGACCTGCAAACCCTCCCCCACATAAACAACACCAACACCTCCGATCCCACCCTCCCCTTCCGCAAATCCCGCAACGCCCGCTTCTCCCTAAACACAACCACCCGCACCGCAACCCGCCTCGAGCACCAACCCTTCACCCTCTCAACAACAGAAGACTTCATCCGCCACGACAGCGACACAATCCGGCACTTCGACGAGGTGGCCCCAGCCCTCCAAACCAACAGCATCTTCCAAGCCCTGCTGCTCTTCAAAACGCTCATGATCCACGGCGTGCACACCACGCCCCGCCCAGGCCTAAACTACACCTCCCACGCCGGCCACTGGGTCTGCACGCTCTTCGCGCTGCGCACGGTCACGACGCCTTCCCTCCTCGGCGAGCCAGCGCTCGAAGGCGTGCACGCCGACGGCGTCGACCACACGATGACGACGTTCCTGAAGGCGGATAACATGGCGCGCGGGAGCGCCGCGACGTTCCTGCACGAGATGGACGAGGAGACGGGGATTGAGCTGGGGCGTATCTCGCCGGGGTATGTGCGTGGGTGGGCGGCGCATGCGGCGTTCTTGGATACGTTGTTGCTGGTGGATCATGAGGTTAAGCATAGTCTTTCGGCTGTGAGGGCGGTTGATGCGGGAAAGGAGGCGTACCGGGATATGTTGATTTTTTTTACGAGGAGGCCGGCGCTAGGCGCGCATGTTTCGGGCGCGATTGATAGTTTGAGGCCGCATCGGACGATGCCGATGGAGGTGCAGCTGTTTGTGCCATGAGTACCTGCCGTTGTATGTAGGCGGTTGGCGATATGGCGGGTTTGTCCACGCTACCTATAGTCCTGCCAGAGTACCCTATGGTATCAAGGGAAAAATACATTTGCATGTTGACAAATGAATCAAAATTCTTTATCTGGGCACTTTGTTTACTTGTGTCTATGTGTCTTTCCTGGGAATCTCCCCTTCCATCAGTATGTACAATCCCCTCTCCGACTTCGGGACTGAGGCTCTCCTCACGACCTCGACACGAGTCGTTGGTGTGAGACCATAATTAGACAAACTTGACGCTTCCAATGTAGGTAACCACCAGAGTAGCTGCGACTAGCTAAGCTTGAAGAGTGTACACGTGGGAATAGGGTTGCCTTTCATGGTTTTTGCTGGCGGGTTTGCGATGACCGTCGCCCAATGTAAGCAATACAAGCCTCAGCGATGGTATATTTGTCCAATACTTCTCTGCTTGGCTGGCCCAAGTGACAAGACTAGGCACCCCACCGTGGCTATAGCAATTTCACCCAGAGTCAGGGTAGCTGTGGCGGAGTGATAATGTTGAGATAGACTCGTCAATGTGATGGCGGCGCTAGACAGGGCAGCATACGCGTCCTAGTAAATGCCCGGTTTCTATTTCCAGGACCTCGTTGCTTCGGGCGCTGCGCCACATTGTACCGTATGGCAGCCGCGCACGGGTTGCCGAAGTTTGGGGATTGTGGGAGCCTCCGACAATCGGGATGATGTTGGTAGGTAAAAACAGTATCCACCCCGGAAATTCTGGTCTAAAGATCCCGAGTTGCTGCTACTGAGTACGTAAGAGGGCAGAAAGGAGTTGCAAGCAGACGACAATGGTTACGTCTTGCTGGCACGAGCAGACTCAGTCTGTAACAGGGCTCTTATAAATATCAGGGACTGGCTCACCGTCTGGAGTCAAGATTGAACAAGCCTATCCACCTCAGTTTTATCCCGCCTCAGTCGCTCTTTCCAGATCTTTCTCTCCATTGTCCTTCTCCATCGCTCCTTCCGTAAACCCAATTCACCACCATGCGTCAATTCCCCGGCATCGCCGCTGGCATCGCCCTAGCAGCCTCCCACGCCGCGGCCGGCTCTTCGGTTGCCTCTCTCTGCACCGTCTCCCACGTCCAGTCCGCCCTCCCTGCCAATGGCACCCTCCTCGGCATCGACATGCTGCCCTCGTCCGTGACAGCCACGACCACCAACACGACCTCGGGCGAGTACTGCAAAGTCGCCGTCTCGTACGTGCACACCGGGACCACGGACGAGATCGTCCTCAACTACGGCTTCCCCAGCCCCGATGCCTTCAAGAACCGTTTCTACGTTGCCGGTGGGTTTGGATACTCCCTCAACTCGGACGTTACCGGCGGGCTCGAGTATGGGGCTGTCTCTGGTGCGACCGACGCGGGATACGGTGCGCTGACCGGGACCACCGTCGACGAGGTCAACCTTCTCGGTAACGGTACGATCAACTGGGATCCCATCTTCATGTTCGCGTACCAGGGTCTCGGCGAGATGACGACCATCGGCAAGCCACTGACCCGCGCCTTCTATGGCCTTGACGATGACGCCAAGGTTTACACATACTATGAAGGGTGTTCGGATGGTGGTCGACAGGGCATGAGCCAGGTGCAGCGGTACGGCGATGAGTATGATGGAGTTGTCGTCGGTGCACCTGCATTCAGGTATGGTCAACAACAAGTGAATCATTTGTTCAGCAGCGTCGTGGAACAGACGTTGGACTACTACCCGCCGACATGCGAGCTCGCAAAGATTGTCAATGCGACCATCAGCGCTTGCGACCCCCTTGACGGTCGCAGCGACGGCGTCATCTCGCGCTCGGATCTCTGCCAGGAGCAGTTTGACCTCACCTCTATAATAGGCGAGTCGTACCACTGCGCGGCGACAACGTCCACATCCCTGGGCTTCAACTTTGGCAAGCGAAACGACGGAACCAGCTCCTCCACCACTCCTGAGCAATCCGGAAAGGTCACAGCCCAGGGGGTGGCCGTCGCTCAAGCCATCTACGACGGCCTCTTCAACAGCAACGGCGACCGCGCGTACCTTTCTTACCGCATCGGCTCCAAGTTCACTGACGCCGAAACAACGTACGACAACACCACGCAGACCTGGGGCGTCAGCATCCCCTCAACCGGAGGCGAGTTCGTCGCCCGTTTCATCGAGCTCCTGGACATTGACAACCTCTCCACGCTGGACAACATCACCTACGACACGCTTGTCTCCTGGATGGACACGGCGATGACGCGGTACATGGATACTCTGCAGACCACCCTCCCCGATCTAAGCACCTTCCTATCCTCCGGCGGCAAGATGATCCACTACCACGGCGAGGCAGACCCCAGCGTTCCCACCGCCTCCTCCGTGCACTACTGGCAGTCCGTCCTGGACATCATGTACCCGCATCTCAGCTCCTCCGAGGCCCAGGAGAAGCTGAAGGAGTGGTACCAGCTTTTCATCATCCCGGGTGCATCTCACTGCGCGTCGAACTCGCTGCAGCCCAACGGGCCCTTCCCGCAGGATAACATGGCCACGATCATCCGGTGGGTTGAGGAGGGCGTGCAGCCCACTGGTCTGAATGCCACTGTCACCGAAGGCAATTATTCGGGCGAGGTCCAGAGCCTCTGCCAGTTCCCTAAGCGGCCGATGTGGAAGAAGGGTGCGTGGGAGTGTGTGGCTGATGAGAAGGGGGCCGAGACGTTCCAGTACACCTTCCCTGCGTTCAAGGTGCCTGTTTACTAGTGCCTTGGTGATTGCTAAGGGGAATTCAGAGATGTAGGATATCACAGAAGCTGATGGTTTAGCATGAGGTGCCTCGGTGCTTTTCCTTTCTCCCCTTGTGGTTTACTTCTCTTTAGACTTTTACATACAGACTGCTCAATAGACCTCTGTACCATAGACTACCATATATTATAGACAGCCCAGTTTCCATCTCACACCCATCAGCCCTTAATAGACATCTTCTGTGTTTGCTATACCCTGATTCGGGCTTGTTCTGCTTGCACCAAGACCTGGAAGAGCTTTACCCAGCAAGCCCACCAACTTAGGCAGGAGGATGCATACAAAAAACAACCATTGATCCAAATTCGCCTCAATCGCCCAGGCCCCATCGATTTCCATTCGGAATCAAGAGCGGAATTTACTACGGGGACCAGCCATAAAAACAATCATGGCTCGTGGCTCCAGCCCCCACAAAGTGTACCGGTAGGGAAGTGGGCGTGGGGCGTGGGGCGTGGGGATGCTGTGGGTGAACCTGTTCGACACCTTCCTTCCTTCCTTCGTACCACCCTTCCCTTTGCTTTTTATTCCCAATTTTTGGTACCTAAACCAATGGAGTTTGAAGCACAAGGGGGGAGCTTGATGATAACAGATTTACTGTACCCTACTTCCTATTGAAGGCAGAGTTTGCCTATGGATGCTGCTTCCAACGTTGGGCTTGCCTGGGGACTCGAACAGCTCAGCTGAATCCTGGGTGTTACAACTTGTGCATGATTCAGGACGTGTCCACAGTAAATTAGGCATTGCGTACGCTCTCTTGCGTCTGGTGTGGCGTCTGATGTATTCGGAATTGACGTTCACCTGTGTCAGGACTTCTGGCCTTATGGTGAGCGTTAGTACATTCCAAGGTTAAGTCGAGATTCGCCCAGATTTACCTACTTGTCAAAGTAGCTACGACTGTATCTAGGGGCCTTGGTTGAAGCTCGGGTATTGCAGCCTGGGCCATACACAATGCATTGAAAAGACGGCCGTATGTATGACCTTACGCGGTTCTGCGGCCTGGGATCTACAAGAAAAGGCGTGCCATCTATATATTGCGGGCACCTTTAGCAGCATACTCGAGGGGTGAGTTCATTGCTTCACGGGCGGGACTCCAACACATGGACCCTTGTCAGGATCTCTCACCACACAAGCGATGAGCCTGAACGATCGAAGCACGTTTTGAGATAATGTTTGTTTGAACAAGCCATGAACCTCCTCTGATGCTGTACCCATCTGTATTCCACAGTTGAGCAAATCCCAAACGAAACATATGTGAGGCATTGACCAACCTTAAGAATGGGATTGGCGGCAGAGAATCAATCCTACAAGGTCCATGACTCGAAACAGTCACGGCTCTGAGAAGACCGCCCTTAAGAGACCATGGTTCTTAAGGTAGTATCGATATTTACAGCCTATTCAATCATTCGCATGACTATTGGCAGTGGACATTAGTGCCATCTAAGAGCCCGATGCACACTGAACCAGGGCTGATGTATCCATGTCCGCTACCCTGAGAAATCATCACTAAGCCGTAGACTAAATATTCTCTGGCCGATCTGACAAAGAGCCGTCAAGGCTTAATCCGTTACCACCTAATGCTCAGTACGCAAGGGAAAGAGCACTAGCTACAGCATAGGTAGCGGAGTCAGACCTCCAGACGTTCGACGACAGTTAGTGGGAATTATGTATGTATCTACGCTATGAGTGTGGCGTATAACAGACCTAGGGACTTAGGTAACTCTGTGCTTTCTGCTACCCAAAAGTCCAGCTTAAGATATATTTCTTTTTCAATGACTATAAAACGTGCGTGCAAAGAACAAGACCTTGGCGAAGGAGACCATACCAAGCAAGCGAGACACTTAATATACAGGGAACATACGAACCCACGGTAGGATAGAAACAGAACTAAAGCGCGATCGCGCCAGCGGTCAACTGCTACGCGAGCACTGAGAGCTTGGGCCTTGTAGGGTACCTACCCTAGAGCAGGAACCCTAAGGCCCGATCTTGGAACTCAAAAGAAAGCAAGCCCCGGCGCAACAACCCCCACCCCCAGAGCCAAAAGCGCCAGCACCATCGCCCCCTTAGCATCAACCCCCACAGCAAGAGGCCTCGCCCCATTAGTCCCAGTCGGATCCGCTGCATCCCCGGTCGCACTGGCACTATCATCACCAACACTCGAAGTGCCATTCCCAGTCGCAGTGGAGGTCGGCGTCGCAGTACCGGTAGCAGTAGCATTCGCATTGGTATTACACCACACCTGGCCAGCTGCCGAGCCCTTGATCAGACACTCGGCGAGATCGCCGACGTTTTCGTCTTGCGCGAGACAGTAGTAGTCGCAGTCGGCGTAGGCGACGACACTCGCAGAGCCGCAGCAGGAGGTCATGAGGGTGTGGTAGGTGGAGTTCATGGGCATTGCGCAGGCGGCGTCGTGGACGGGGATGTTGTACAGTTGCGCGGCGCAGGATGCGGAGGCGGCGGCGGTGGTTGTGGTTGTGGTTGTGGTTGTGGTGGACATTTTGGCGGTTGGCCTGGATTCAGTGGATGGATTGGGAAGGTTCTGAATTGGTTGAACGGAAAGATAGAAGGAGCAATAGGCTTAAGGAGGGACGACGGTTGGATGAGATTCGAGGTCAATTGCTGATTGCAATGTTCTCGGGATATTGGCTGAGAGCTTGCTTTGCGCTTTATATGCTTCTATCTGGTCGACCTGGGAAACCTAGACTGAGACATGCATGACCTAGACTGCCTGTGTTCTATCAATAGATACTTGAGAGTGTGGGATGTTGGCCCACAGAAGGCATCAATCATATGGAATTGAGACTCACGAGTACTAGAGGAGGTAGTGTAGCGGGTAAATGACCTGTGGCTTGATGCGCAGAGCACACTACTCCCTATGCATGGGCAGTATCTCCCTTCCTCGAAGTACCCAGCATACCATAGACTTAGTACCCAATGGATCCAGCGCAAAACCTCACGGCCGGGTCTAAGTTTTGCCCTACGCCCTACCTATATCATGCTACCCCACGCCACATGGCCCTATATTTAGAGCACGATGGACCAATAACTGTGGCTTCCGACGGTATAGCACCAGCGACCATTCCCAGAGGCCAGTCCCCTACAATCATACCATGGTACAGTTGGGATACTTCGCGAGAGTCCCCTCGCCGGGGATGGCCGGAGATTGAGGCATCTGCCAACGCCACGTCGATCACTGCAGCGACGTACCTATCGTCCTCACTCACCTTTAAGCGACAGCTCGGCATAGTTGCCTCAAGTGGCTAAAGTTTCCGCGGCATGCCGCTGGTGATGTCTATGGCGTATCGATGTCTCTGGCTAATAGTGAATGTTGTGAGTAGTAGTAGTAGTAGTAGTAATATTTAACGCCCCAGGGATTGCTAGGCGTACGCCTAATATTTTAAATCTTTCTTGGGGTATAAGGGCGTGCCACCGCTAGGTAAGTAACTTATTTAAATAAGTTTATATATAAAAAGGTTTTTTTATTTTAAAAGGTAACTTTTACTAAAGCTTATAGGCTAGGCACCTATTTTTTACTTATTATTTTAATATATAGCTATTAACAAGTATTATTTATTATATACTTAAAAGTTTAATTATAGTATTTTATAGGGTCCAGTCCTTATATAAAAAAATATATTAAATAAATTAGTTATATTAAAAAAAGGTATTTTAAAAAAAAAATTATAATAAAAAAAAAAAATTATTTAATATTAGGCTAAATAATTTTAATATAAGAATTATTAGGGCGCGGGAAGCCCTAGTATAAATAAATAAATTTATAAAAGTTTATAATTTTAAATAAAAATATAAAGCCCTTAAATTTTAATTTATAAAGGTATTTTAAGGCCTTAGCCTTAGTTATTAATAATATTATAGGGCACTAGGGTTATTATTAAAATTATTATTTAAAGTAATAATAAAAAACTAGGTATTTAAGGTTTTTATTTTTTTATAAAAATAAGTAAGCCTAGTATTTTTATATTAAAAGTATTTATAATATTACTTAAAGTTTTTATATAAAAACTTAAATACTAGCTAATAATATAAAATTAAATATTTTAATATAAGTTTAAGCTATAATTTAACTTAATAAGGCTTTAGTTTTAAAACTATTATTTATACTAGGTTAATAATTTTATAAAAATATTTTTTTATTATTTAGCTTAAATAATTTAATATATTTATTTATATAAGCTATATATCTTACTTGCGGTAAACTATATTTTAAAAAAAGTTAATATTTAAAGGCCATGCTTTTATAAAGGCTACCTTATTAACTAGCTTATTAATTAACTTATTACTTTTAATATTTATATAACTAGGGAACTATTATAAATAAATTATATATTAATTTATAAGCTAGTATAATATTTAAAAAGCCTAGTTTAAAAATAGCAAGGGCTGCCCGCGTGCGTATTAAATTATTAAAATATTATTAATATAAAGCTAGTAGCAGGGCGCTTTTAAAAACTTTTTAATTATAATTTTTAATTTTTAAAGTATATTAATAGCTTTAGTATTATATATATAAAATTAAGTATTAATTATTAATAATTTTTATACTTAAAAATATTATTTATAATATATTATAAAGCTATAACTTATATAATAAACCCCTTAATATATTTACTTAAAATTATTATTAAAAATTACTACCTTTATTATTAATAATACTTATTATTATTATTTAAACTTTTTTATAGCTAGCTTCTTAGCCTTATTACTAGTGGGATTTTTTAAGTATTTTTAAAAGTAATAAGGGTGTGTTAAAACTAGCCTAAAAGTTTTTTAAAAAAATACTTTTATTATTTATATTTTTATTTTAAGCTTTTAATATAAACTAGCACCCTAGCCGCGCAAGATTTTTAATAATATTATTTATATTATTAATAAGTTTTAATTATTAACTAGCCTTAGCCTTAGGGTAAAATATAATTATACTTTTTTTAATATTATTATTATAAAAAAAAGCCTAGTAGTTTTAAAAAGGGTTATTATAAGTATTATTTAAAAAATTAAAAGTATACCGCGAGCGGCTAATACTAGGGTTTTATAATAATTTTAATATATTAGCTTAATTAAGTATTAACTTTTAAATTTTATATATACTTTTTAAGTTTAATTTTATTATTATACCACGCCTTTATACTATATAATAAGTTAAAAATAATATAAATAATAATTATTTTATAAAGGGAGTTTACAGGCGGGCTATATACTATATAAATTAAATTATAAATATATTAGGTTATTACACGGGCTTTAGCTACCTATTTAATAATATACTAATATTAAAAAAGCTATTTATTAAAAAAAATACTTAGCTAGCATAGCACGGGCCATTTTTAGCCTAGTATTATAATAATAAAAGTAATTATTAGCTAGTTATTAACTATTAGCAAGGGTAATTTATTATACTATTTTTAAATAATATATAATATTTTTAGTTTTTTAAATATAAAGGCTATTTTATTTTATTCCCCCTAGGCTAGTATATTATAAATATTTTTTATTAAAAATTTATAATTTATATAAAGGGAGTTACTCGCGCGGTTAAAATAAAAGTTATTTATATAATTAAAATATAAAATTAGGTTTGCTAGTAATAGCTTAGTAATATATAATAAAAATAATATTAAAAAAAAGGCAAGCCTTATAGCATGCTATAGTATATAAAGTATATTATTATTATAATAAATTTTAAGTATATTTTTATACTTTATTTATTAAAAAAACTTATAATTAAGGCTAAAAGCGCGCGAGGCCAGCCTTACTTTATTATTTATTAAAATAAGTATTATAATAAAATAATATTAAAAATGCCTAAAATATTTATAATAATTATAATAACCTTTTAATTTTATAAAAGTATTATTTTTATATTATAAGTAAAAAAGGTTATTAAGTTTATAGTTAAATACTTAAATAAAGTATTATATTATTATAAGCTTAGTATTTTTTATACTAGTATAATAAAAGTAACACAGCACGCTATAATTTATTTAAGTTTTTTTTTAATATTAAAAGTAATGCTATAAAATACTAAAATTAAGGTAAAAACTTATTTTTTTTACTATTTTTTAAAAATATTACCACCTTTGCAAGCTTTTATAATAAAAAAAAGTGTTTTAATTATAAGTATTAATTATATAGTTTATATATAGCTTACTTAATATACTTTTAGTAAGTTTTTAAAATATAAATTATTACCTAGTCCGCCCTAAAAAAGGTGCTGCTTATATTAATAATATTTTTTTAACCTTTTTTAATAAAATTTTTTTTAGCTAGTAAAGGTACTTATTATTTTATTAATACTTTAGTACTAGAAAATTAAAGTTTAAATTATTATTTATATTAAAATACTTTAGTATTACTTTTTATAAAATATTAGCCTTTTCCCGCGTATTTTTAATTACTTTATTATTTATTAATAGCAAGGGAGTTTTAAGCCTAGGCTTTAGCTTATATTATACTATTATTTAATATAATTTTTAATTATTTTTAATATTATTAATTATCTTAGTTTAGTACGCATGCTTGGTTTTATAAATTATAATTAAAAATTACTTTTTTTATTTTAAGGCAAGGTTTACTACCCAGGCTTAATAATTTTTTATATATTTAATTAATTACTAGGGGGCGCTATAGCTCCCTAAGTTAGGGTGTTTATTAATTACTTATATAACTTTTATAATAGTATTACTAAAGGACCTAGTATATTAATTTAATATTTTTATATTTTTAAATTTTTTAGGCTAAAAAAAAATTATTTTATTTTTTATAAGCCTAGCTAGGCGTTTAAGCTTATAGTTTAATATATTATAATAATATTATTTTAATATTTTCTTCCCGCGCCCTGGTACCATAATAACTAAAGTTTAATAATTAAAGTTATTATATAACTTAGGTATTATTAATATATAAGTAAAAAAAATATTTAAAAAAGTTAAATTAAAAATATAGCTAGCTTTATATATAACCATGCCTGGTTTATTAATATAATTAATATTATTATTATTAGCTTACCTAGTAATTTTACTACTATGGTATAGGTTATTTACTTTAAGCTTAAAGGTATTATAAATAATATTAAAATTCTTGCTAATTATATAGTTTAAAATAGGGATTAATATAACTAGGTAGTTAATTATTTTATAAATAATTAATTTTTAATATATATTTAAAATCTTAATATTATTTATTATAAATTATAATATATTTTAGCTTTATACTAGGTAATATTATTTAATATGTAGCACTCCCCCTTTATAAATATAAATAAGTATTTTAAAACACTTTTTTAACTAGTTTTTATAGTTATTTTAGGTATTTACTAGCATATAGTACTTATATACTAAATAATTTTAGGTTTTTATACTTATAATAATTTAGGGCTTTTAAATATAGGTAATATTATAATTTTATTTATAAGCTAGTTATAAAATTATAATATAACTAGGTATAAACTTACTTATATTAGCCTAATAAATAATAAAATCTTATTATTATTAAATATTATTTTAATAGTAATTACTATGGTTTTTTTTTTAATGCTTTATTATTAAAGCTTAAAGGGGGATTTAATATTAACCTTTATTACCTAGGGTAAAAAAGGCATGCCCGCGCTAGCTAGGGTAAGTAAAATTAATTTAATAAAAAATTATTTAAGGTTTTAATTATTAATAAAGGTGTTAAACTATAAAATATAATAATTAGTAATTATTATAAAGCCTTACTTATTTACCTTTAACTTTTTTATAACATGCTTTTAAGGGTTTTTCTAGGGTAAAAATTACTTAATTTTAGCTTAAAATTAAGTATTAGTATTAGCCTAGGTATATATATTTTAATATTAATAGGTATTATAATAACACACGTTATTAAGCTTTTTTTTTAAATAAGTAAACTAGTTTTTTATTTTTATGCCTGGGGGCTGCTAGGTAATTATTATATTTTATTAACTAAGGGCCTAAATAATTTATATAATATATAAAATTTTTATAATTTAAATTAATAAAATTTAGGTAGTTTATAATTATTATATTATATTATATATAATATATTATATAGTTATATTAAGCTAGGTAATAGTATTTTTAGTAACTAGGGTTATATTAAAAAATTAACTAATATTTTTTAATAAGCTAATAATACTTACTTTAGTTAAATAAAATAAAGGCCTTAAGCTACTTTAAAAAAATACTATTTAAATAATATACTTAGTATTAAAATTAGGCTTATATTTTAAAAAAGCAAGCCTAACTAGCTTTAGTTTAGTTTAGGCTATAACTTTATTTTAAATTAGCTTTATAATATTTATTTTATTATTATTATATACTAGGATAGTGCTAGGCACTTTTTACACTATATAATTATATTATTTTTAGGGAATATATATATTAATAGCGCCTAGGGTATAGTAAATTATATTAATTACTTTATTAATTATTAAAAAATTTTTAGTAAAAAAATTATTAAAAATAATAGCCTAGCCTGTTCAGGTAATATTAATTTTAAAAATAATTATAATTATAGTTAAGCCTAGCACGCACTTAATAAAGGCTTATTAAATAATATATACTTTTAAGCATGCTATTAACTTATTATTAAAAAAGGTAATTAATACCTTATAATTATTTTATATTATTAAAGCTATAATAAAGTTACTACACGCTAATTAAGTTATTAAAATACTTAAGAGGGGTATTTTACCTAAGATAATATTAATTAAGGTAAATAAATTTACTTTAAAAAGGGTAGGTTAAGCCCCTAAGTTTTTAAGGGTTAAACTTATTTTTTTTAAATAATAATTTTATTAACAGTTATTATAATAACAGGCTAATTATATATATATAAAAAAATATAATTAATATTATTAATATTAATATAGCCCTTTAAAAAAATAAAGTATATAAACTTATTATAAATATTATAAGTAAAAACTTTTTAATTTTAAATTTTTTACCTAATTATAAAGTTATTAATAATAGCTATAAAGCTTATAAAAACTTTATATTTAATATATACCTAGTACTTTTATTTATTAAGCTAATTATAAAAGGCCTTTATAATTAGGCTAGACTAAAAAATTAACATGTTATTATTTTTAGTAATAAAAAAAAATAGGCTTGCTAGGGCCCTTTTTTTTTACCTTTTTATAATATATAGGTTAAAGGGGAATAAGGGGTTTTATAATTATATAAAGTTAACTAAGTTAATACTTATAAGCTAATTAAAAATATATACCTTAATTTTAGTTATTACACCGCGGGGAGTAGTAAAAAAAAAAAAAGTTAAAAATAAAATTAAAATAGTAAAAATATATATTTATAATAGTTTTAAAGCGTCTAGAGCCCTTATTTAAAGGTACCCCTAGATTACTAAGAGTTATAAAGGTTGGTGAATGTTGTGAAGACCCCCGGACGATGGATAACTACCTACCTGGTACCTGATGATACCATTCATGCCACCTCCTTAGACAGGGCCGTACAAGATACTGAATCTGACAACCTGGGGCGATAGAGCTAGTTCTGATACTTGATATCTCTCATCTTCCCTATCTACACTATGATACCAAGTCCCGTCCGGGTTCTCCCGGCTTTCCGTGCCCTCGGAAGGAACGGGTGGCTCTTCGGGCTGCCGATTCCAGCAACCAGGGAGAATAAAGGCCAGAGGTTAAACGAAACCAAGCCCGCAAATGCTTATTTTGGGATCATACGGTGGCAGTGCTTGACGCTGTGGCGGATGAGTCCCCACGACGGACCTCCCCACAGTGAGGGACGTCCACTCGGAATGGATGCTCGGTTTACCAGAGTAAGGATGCGATTATACATAGATTTGGTCTTGCCTTGGCGGCTATTTGTAGATGCAAGAATGCTGATCTTGTTCTCTTAAATTAAGGGTGCATCAACAACGTTAGCCTTGGTGTAGTCCTCGGGGTCAAATTGCTGGCCGACACAAAAATAGCCTGCTTTGTATAGCTTGAGCACAGCCTCTTACATAGCTTAGAATCATGAGTATGAGGTCGATTGTTGAAAGGCAGGTGTACCATGTGTAAGGTATTTATGTAGCCTGTAGGTGCATTGATGCTATATGGCACGGTGTGAAGCTGTATCTGAAATCCCTACCAGTCACTCATTCTTATGGAAATAAACTGGATTCGAGGCATTGACGACCAAAGCCTCGAGCACAAGGCGATCTGGCTCGCAGAGCTCACGCGACAAATGCCCGAGCTGCCTCTCCGTCTAGCCACCCAACACCGTCCAGGCCATGCCGCCACGCACATCTCAAATCTGACAGCCGGGTCCTCGGCCCTGTATTGCCTCGTGACATTCGACGACGGGGTCTGCGTAACAATCCGGTTCCCCATGCCTGGCAGTACGAATGCCTCCCTTGAAATAAGCAGCAACGAGGTCTCGGTGATGCGGTACCTCGCCCGCACAACCATCATCCCTGTCCCCACCGTGCTCGGCGCCGGAACCTGGGACTGCGGTCTGTACATTGTCACCGAATTCATCGATGGAGTCCTGCTATCCCACCATCTGCATATGGGTCTGGACCCCACTAGCAGCATTCTCACCCCCACACTCATCCCAGACGCCGAACTCCAAAGAGCATACCACTGCATGGCGCAGGTGATGCTGGAACTCTCAAAGCCAACCTTCCCATCAATCGGCGCGCTGGTACAAACCCCCGACGCAAAATGGACTATCCAGTCACCAAGCCCTACGACCATGCAACCCGCCACAGCATACGCAAACCCACCAACCCCCTTTCCACGCAACCCCTTCACCACAGCAAACGCATACTTCGTCGACCTCGCAACACAATACCTGCACCACCTCTTCCACCAGCGCAACGCCGGCCTCCTGCCTGACCCCGTTGCCTGGAAGGAGAAGTACATCGCGCGCTGCCTCTTCCAGCGCATCGCACGGAGCATGAAGACGCAGCGTGGCCCGTTCAGGTTATACAGCGACGACTTCAGCCCGGCGAATGTGCTCGTCCTGCCCAATACCCCTAGCCCCGATATTCCAGACACAGAAACAGCAGACTTCAGCGTCACGTCCGTAACAAACTGGTCGTCCACCTACATCGCGCCCAACGAGTTCACGTACACCGCGCCCTGGTGGCTCCTCTTCCAGTCGTCCGGGTGGGAGGCAGATCTCAGCCAGTTCATGAATAAGAGGACGCCGCATCTCGCCATGTTTCTCTCCGTGCTGAGGAGCGTCGAAGACGAGCAGGTTGCGCGGGGGACGCTGGATATCGCTATCGCACGCGGGAATGGGCGGCTGTCGAGCCGCATGGCGGAGTCCCTGCACACCGGGCTCTTCTGGTTCTATCTTGCGGCCAGGAAGCCTCGTGTCTTTGATGATGTCTACTGGGCTTTTCTGGATGGGCGCTGGTTTGGGCACCTGGGGTCGCTGGATGAGAGGTTGGCGCTGCTGTCGGAGAGTGAGATGGAGGAGTTTGATGCGTGTGTTGAACCGCAGGTGAGAGGGGGGATTTGGCCTGAGGGGCCGGGGGTGGAGAAAGGGGATGGTGATGGGGATGGGGATGGGGATGGGGATGGTGAGGATGGGATTCTTGAGGTGCCGGGGATAGAGCCTAGTGGTGGGCTGGTGTGATGTGTGACATACCTAGGCAGAGTCATAGGATAAAAAATGTTTGCGTAAGGGGCATCGTGGTTCTGGTTCGAATAGGTTGCGGTTCATTCCGTCCTATGGCATATTTAGCTATCAAGCTATTGGATATGCCAAAGTTGGATTCAGGGATTCCATCGGGCACAGGTACATGACGAATTATCCTGGAAGTGTTCAAAATCAATACGGTTGACGCCCTCCCTTATAATAAGAAAATGTACCGATTCGTGTCTCCATGCAAGTACCCAGCTGGTGGAGGAAAGCTCTCCAGATGCTAAAAGAAAGCAGACCGTTTGTCCACCCGTCTTCTCCAGTACAACCTCAATCATGCGCCTTCTCTCATGGACGTGGACGAAGAAGTGCGGGGCCAGTGCCATACCTTCGAGCAGGTCACATGCCCTTGTTTCGCGTTTAATACGGGGGATCATCAATTCGATACTTTATTACTGTCAGTTGAAGTGCTGATGCTGCGGTAGATACTTCCATGCGGATATCATTTTCTTCGTCGAAAGTAGCCACCGGTTTGAGCAAACCTGGGTAATTCAGGTGGCCGTCGCGCACCTTGATCAGTAGATTTCCAGAGGAGCTGTGCTTGGTCGCACCAGCGAAAGTGATCCAAGAACCTGTCACGGGAATACACCTTGTCTCGAGCGTCCGCGTTGTAGTCCGAATTCCTACCGCTAGTACCCATGGTGTCCTTTTCAAGAGCTAGCTGGCACCCAGCACATGAGACGCCGCGATCGGCTTCGCCCGTCTCTTTGTCAAGGTAAGGGAGCGCACAGGATGCCATGAAATTGAATTTCTTGTTTAGTTCATCGTTGGACGGGTAGTCTGGCTTCGGATGCCGTCGGCAGACAGTCACCACATGGCGGAGCGAGACAAGGGCAATACGGGCCTTTTGCGCAGCCTCGTTCATTGAATAGGTACCGGAGAGACAATAGAGTGGCTGCAACTGAAATGCTTCGCCCCTGGTCAAGCGTATCTGTTTTTTGACGTAGGAGACCTTCCGCATTTGTGTTTCGGGCGCGTTCTGAAGGCATTTGATACAGCATCGCGTCCAGGATGGGAGGAACATGAACCCGGCAAATTCGCCGCAGAGCTTGCAGGTCTTCGTGCACAGCGCGGTATCGAAGTCATGCAGAGACACGTCCCTTGCAACGCGCGTGCGTAATGTAGCGCAGAAGATGCGGAGGCCGTGCAACACGATCCGCTGGTACTGAGGCAGCGAGTCTACCGTTCGTCTCGATGCCGAGTTGACTTGTCGGAGCTTGAATAGGGAATGCATGTCCAAGTGGCACAGAGTCTCGCATATCAGCTCGAGTGGGAGGCGGTCGAGGAAGCCGAGTCCGGCGGCTGACGTCCGCTGGAAGGGAGTGGCGATTGATGAGCGTATGCTGACATGCTGGCTTGGAGGAAACCAGATGACGGAGAGACAGTAGTCTCTACGGTGGTAGGCGGTTGTTTGGATGATGGCGTCAGCTTCTTCCTCGTGCAAGTGGTATTCGGTGGCGGAGCGATATCCTGGGGGCATTACCAGGGCGGCCATTGTTAACTTCCTGCTGAGGACGAGAAAGTCACGACGGGCAGAGGAGTTTGTCGTCTGAAGAGTTCCCTGGTGGTGTTACAGAGTTGGTAGTAAGGTACACTGGGGCCAATAGTGAAGTGACAGTCAGCTGACCCCGGGGCGGTGGAACTCTATTCCGGGCAGCGGTCACGTGGCCTGCCTTGTCCTGCCGGAAAGTCCAGCAGAGCAACAACTCCTCACTTGAGGCTACTCCCTACATAAATCAATCTTCAACAGAAGAATCAAATGCATGTCACTGTCTTGATGGTGTGAAATGAATTGAAGCTAGGACTGCTATCATTGAGACAATGCGTCAAGAATAATTCTCCTTCACCCACTCCGCCACCCGCTCACAAGCCTCCTTGGGCTGCCGCTTATATTGCAGCAGAAACCCCTGCACTTCCGCCAGACTGAGTTTGTTCTCCGGGAGGGCTTCCGCGAATTTCGCTGAGAGACTATCCATGTCTATATCTGCTTTCTTCTCGTCTTCCTCCTCCCCTTCCGAGGTGCCGATTTCTCTCCCGCCGCCAGGGCCATCACTGAACATGCTGCGGAATAACTCACGCATTTCCGTACGTCCAGGCAAGTCGAATTGGACGCGCATATCCACGCGCCCGGGGCGGATGAGGGCCGGGTCGAGGTCCTGCGGTGCGTTGGTCGTCATGACCAGGATGCGGCCCTCTTGAGATGCGACGCCGTCGATGGCGTTTAGAAGAGCTGAGAGGGAGATTGGGCCGGAGGTATCGACAGGAGGACCTCGTTGAGCCTGAGAATGAGGCGGTCGACCGGCTCTCCTGGTTTGTGAATCTACACTTTTGGACGCATCTGATTCCTGATCAGCAGCAACGTTGGGCCTGCGGACACTCATTCCAGCAGCGTCAATATCCTCCAGCAGCACGACGCACTGGGAGGGGACTTCCGAGAACAGACGGAGAAACTGGGACTCCGTGATATGCGGATCCAGAAGACTCAGCACGTAGATATCCAACCCAAACACACCGGCAATCGCAGAGCACAAACTCGTCTTGCCTGTCCCTGGCGGTCCAGAAAACAAATAGCCCCTGCGGTACGGAATGCCATGGTCGGCGTACCATTGCCTGGTAGCCGGGTGCAGATACTCCTCCAAATCAGCAAGGAGCGTGCTCTTCTTCTTTGCATCAAGAATAACCGACTCGATGGATCGAGACGGTCTCGTCGTGATGCAGGTCCACCTCACCATGTCCCGAACATTAGATATGGGCCGGTGCACACTGATATTAGACCTCGACAGTTTCTGGCTATATGCTCGAGCTTCATCCAGGAACGCACGTAGCGTATCAAGCGATAAACTCAGCGTCTGCAGCTTCACATGGTCCGAGAGCTCTGCTTCACTCGCGCCGGGACCCTGCAGCCGCAACCCCGCAGACGCCGTCGGCGAAGAATGCGAAAACAGAATCCAGCGCCCCCTGAACGCAAACACCCGCGACCCATTGAACGGGCGGAGCTTAATCGGCTCGTCGTCTGTCTTGGACGAGGTCCCAACCGCCGGCCTCCAATTGATATTCGGCGCCCACTGGTTCTTGTTCAGGTTCTTGTAGGCCTGTTTATTGGTGACCGCAAGCACGGATCTGAAATTGCTCTGCGCGAAGACGTGGTCGTTTAGCCAGAGCACAACGTCATGGAACAGGGGGTCGTCGTCTTTGATGTGTACTGTTGATAGGCAGGTGCTTTCGGCGTAGCGGTATAGCACTGTCCATGCCGACCGGATCCAGGCGGCGAATGCGGCGAGGGCGATCCCGATGTTGATGATGAACCATGTGTCCTGGCCGAGGAAGCCTCGGGCGAGTTCTAGGGTGTTGGTTCTCATCATATCCTGGGGATACTGGGGCTGGTAAGTAAGGAAAGTGGTGGGTGGTGGGTGTTATATGACAGGTGGCGTTGGTTGGCAGGCAGCACTGTGGCGAATGCTGATGCAGCCTATCACTACACCGCCACGTAGAGGTACCATGTCTATATGAGTCATTGGTGAAGCGGGATATTTGATTTGACAAGTTTCCATTCAGTGTAAACTGGTAGTTCTCTTGCCCGTCAGCAGGTTGAGTATTCCTCCGACTGACCCCCATAGTCGGTATCTCGGTTAAACACGTATCCTTTTCTTGTTCTATTGTGATCAAGTAATTTTACATCTATCCTGGTCTTACATAACTTTGGAGTCCCTATATCTTCATACAAATATTGTGAACTCCGAACTTGGATGGATTGGTGCAGGTACCAGCAGCGCTTCGAAGGGTTCCCTGATGAGCTTCTCCGGCTATGCACATTGAATCATCCGAGTGATGAGGCCTTCTCGGAGCGGAGGACTGGCAGGCTGGAGAAGCCGCCAGAAGCCTCTAGCCCAGATTAGCTTTGTTTCCCGCGCTTATTTTAAAAAGGCTAGTATTATTATATATTACTTTTTTTTATTAAAAATTTTATATATAAATTATTTTTTAGCTAGATTTACTTATTATTTTATAATATTATAATTTATTTTATAATATTTTTATTTTATTTTTATAAAGTAACTTTTTTAGCTTATTTAATAAATTATAAGCCCTTGATTTTTTTAAAATTTTATTTATAAATATTATGCATTTTTAGCTATTTTATATTTAAAAATTTATATATAATTAATTAAAATAGCAGCGCCGGAAGCCCTAAAATTTAATTAATTAATTTTAATTAATATTTATAAATATTTTTACTTTTAACATATTAAAAGGCTTTATAATATTTAATATAATACTTATTATAAAAATAATATTTACTTTTATTATTATAATAAATTAAGTAATAAATTTATTAAAAAAAGCCTTTACCTTTAACGCGGTAAATAAAAAACTAAAAGGTAAGAAAAATTATAATATATAAACCTAGTTAATAAGCCTAAAATTAAACCTATATAATTTTAAGGCACTTATTAAAAAAATATACCTTGCTTAATATTAATATTGATATTATATAAAAAATAAGTAATTATATTAAAAAAGGTTTAAATATAGCTTGCAAAAAGTTTAATAAATAATATTATATAAATAATATATATAAATTTAAAAAAGGCGCTATATATAAATAAGTTTTATACTAAAATTAACTAAGTTTTTAATAAAAATAAATATATAATAACTTATATAATTTAAAAAAAACTATTATTATTAACTAGGCTAGCTATAATATAATTTAAGAATTTATTAAAATATTTTATAAAAAGTATAAATTTAGTAATAAATTTAATATAATTATTACTTTATATTAATAATTTTTTTTACTTTTAAAAAAACTACAGGCAAAGATGTCTTTATATTATAAAGTAAAATATATTTTAATACCTATAAGTATTATTAAAAAAATAATTATAATATAATTTTAAAAGGTTTATTATAAGGTTTTAAATAAAGTAAAGGTTAAGACCTTTATTTAAGTAATAATACTAAAAAATAATAATAATAATAATAATAAAAATAAAAGTAGGGACAAGAATAATAATTTTAAATTTAAAAATAATAAATAAAATATATTTTATTAAGGCGCTTTAAAAAAAGGCATGTTTAATAAGTAATAGTAAAAAAAAAGAATAGCTTTAAAAAAAATTACTAAAAAATATATATAATTATTATGGCAAGGAACCTTATAATTTTTTAAAATATTATTATTTAGTATTAAAAGAATAATTATTAAGCTAGTAGCTATTAGGCAAGATTTAGTATTATAAGTTCATTAGGCTAATAAATTTAAATAATACTAAAAATAGTAATAACAGCAAGCCTAATATTATTATAATTTTTTAATAAACTTAAGGTAAATATAGTATAAACTTTAGTATATATAGTACTATACTTTTTATTATATTAATAATATTAAAGTTTTATAATTAATAGCTTGTAAATACTAGCTTTAAAATCCCTGTATGTAATAATAAAAACCTTATAAAAAATCTTTATATTATTTAACTCCCGCAGCACGCATTTACTATATTAAATAATAAAAAAGTAATTTTTAAGGAAAGAGGTAAAGTTAATTTATATATTTAATTAAATAATAATAAAATATTAATACTATAATTTAATTACCTGTGGTTTTTAAAATTACCATATAATATTTTATTAATAAAAAAAATTAAAATAAACCTAGGCCTTTAGTATAATAGTAAATTATTAAAAATTTAATAAATAAAGAATAATAAGGTTATTTTCAAGGTTTATATTAATAAAAACATGCCTTAATTAAGTAAACTAAATATTAATATTAATAAGAAAGCAAGCTTTAATATAGCTTTAATTTTAATAAAAGTTTGGTATAGGCGTTTTGTAAGACCGACAAGCCTTGAAGATCTCTACTAATAATAAAGATATTAATAAAGGAATCTAACTAATAAGAATGGAGTATTTTAAACCCTGTTAAATAATATTAAAAAAGTTACTTAAAGATTTAGAAAGAAGGCTAGCCTTAAGGCTATTTTTATAAACCTTTAAGCTATACTTAAGCTATTTTTAATTAAAAAATAAATATAAGTTTAAATACTTTACGCATGGGTTCTTACTTTAGCTTATACTTAAGGCCTACCCTAGCCTTACCTAACTAGTAGTTAAAACCTTAAATACTAATAATTTAGTTAAGTTATATAGCTTAATATAATAATAAGGTATATTAAGCCTTAATAGCCTAAGGCTAAAGCTTAGGTGCTAACTTTAAATTAATAGTAAATTAGCTTTAGTAATATTAAATAAAAAAAYATTARCTTTAATAATTTTTTTTTTTTTAATTAAAGGGTCGTCCGCAACCCGCCGCTAAATTAAAAAAAAATAATAATAAAATACTATTATTATTATTAATATTAATATTAAACATAGCTTTATTATTACTATTTTTAACTTTATTAAAGTATTATTTAATATATTAAATTTAGTATTTTATTCTTATTATTTATAGCGCTTTAAATAAAATATAATATTTATTTATAACTAAAAGAAAAAAGGCGGCGCTTTAATAATACCTAGTATAAAAGTATAAATTATAATATAATTTATAATTTTATAAACTTCTAAACTTATTAAACTTTTTATTAAATAAAAAGTTACTTTTTTTTTATTATAATTAAAAAAAAAGCCCTTTTAAGCGCTGCCCTAGCTTCCTAATAAGTAAAAAAAAAGCGCCTGGCTATAACTATAGTAATTTAAAATATTCCTACCTTTACCCTTTATACTCCCACTATGGTATGGTTATAAAACCCCTTTAGTATAGTATTTTTACTAACTTTAAAAGCCCTTAATATTTTTAATTTTTTTTTTACCCCTGTCCCCCTTTAAGTTTAAAAACTTTAATTTTAATTAGTTTTTAGGCGGTAATAATAATAGTAATAATTAGTATAACTTATATTTAATAAATACTTTTAAAATATATAGCAAGGTTATAAGTAATAATTTAGTAAGTTTTTTTTATTTTAATAACTACTAACTAGTGGCGCTCCGCTAGCGCTTTATTAAATATATTAACTTTTAATTTTATAATAACTACCTTATTATTTAATTATAACCCCCATGCTTTTTAACTTACCTTTCCCTGCTTTGCCTAGCACTATGCTAGCCTTTATTTTTATTAATATTCTTATTATAGGTTTTATGCTACCGCCCCCTTAGGCTTTTTTTTTTTTAGCTTTTAATTTTTTTTTTATAAGTATACCCTATTTTTAACTAGTTTACTAGTAAAATAGCTTTAATATAAATATTAATTAATAAAAAATAGGTTTGCTTGCGGTACACAAAATATATTTAGGTATATAAAAATAATAAGTTAATTAATAACCTTAATTATTATATTTATTTAGCTATCAGGCGTAACTACTTTTATTATATTTATATTAAGGGTACTTACCTTCCCCTGCTATTTTATATAAAAAAAATATTATTTTTTTATAATATATAAATTTAGCTAACCATAATAAATACCTTTATTATTAAAACATGTTTACTTACTAGGTTAAACTAGTAATAAAGGCTTATAAAAAAAAATAAGCCTTAAGGTCCATGTAATAAAGGTATTAGCTTTAGCTATTTAAAAGCTTGTTTAGTTTTTTTAGCTTACTATTAAATAGCCCCTAGCCTATTTTAATAATAGCTGGAATAGCTATTAGTTTACTAATGTTTTTTTTTTAAAAAACGGGCCTGTTATACCTTTTTTTTAAAAAATACTAAATATAAAAAAAAGGTATTTATAAAGGCCCCTGCTCCTGCTTTTAATATTAAATAGTAGTTTTTTATTATAGCCTTTGCCGCCTAGCTAGTTATTATTTTTTTTTTTTTAAAAAAATAAAAATTTTTTTTTTTTTTAATACTTTAACTTTAATATAAACATAGTTCTTTATTTTAAATTATAATTTAAAATAAGTTTTAATACTAAGCTAGCGGYATTTTAGCTATAGTTTATTAAACCTTAAAACCTAGTAAAAAAAAAAAAGGTATTTAACTAACTTAATAAGGTGATTACTTTTTTTTTAAACTAGTAGTAAACTAGTGTTATTATAGCTAGTTTTTTATAATTTATTAGGGCTTCCTGTGCATGCTTAAAATTAAAAAATAGTTTTTATAAGTTTTTATAGCTAGGCCAGCCCTTTTACTTAATAAAAAATTTATTATATTTATAAATTTATTATTTTTTAAAAATAACCTTAACTTTTTATTCTTTTTTTTTATTAATTAACTTTGCAGTTAGTAATTGCTTTTTTTCCCTCTTAGGCTTATTTTACTATATAAATAGCTTTAAAAAAAAGACATAAAATACTAAATAAATTTTTAATTAATTATATATACTAGTAAGCCGGAGCTAATACAC